GGGAGGTGTAACATTATAGGGTAATACTTTTACAGGAGGTAGAGAATTTTCTGTTGAAAGCCACTCTACATTTTGAAATAGGCGCTGCTCTAGTATGATACTTGACGATGAGTATTCAACAGCATCTTTCCAGATGCTTTCCGAATTCAACCGAAGCTCTTGGATGTTGTAGTTTGGGGACCCATTGCCATTGGCAAGCACACTGTATGTTTGAACATGATCCCCAAAAGAAAACTCTACAAGAACAACGAACAAACCATAAATGCAAATGATATAAAGGACTTGTGGTATAGTAGGTTCCGGTGGGTTGCTTGTCCTTGCCTACTACAATAAATCACAACATGATTTCACATACTTAAACTACTTTTACCGTATGGTAAGTTGTCACTCCATCTCCCTGCATGACCACCTGCATTAATTTTACTATCTACGTAGTAACAGCGTACAACCTGTTGCAGTGTGCTTTAGAAACAATCGCGTACTGTTGACTTATATTACAGTTTATATTCGCAAAATGATTTGCATAAAACCTTTGTAGATTGTTGAGTAGAAGGCATGTTTTACAGCGTTACTTCACAATAGAGTTTAATTCCATTTTTGGACTACGATGGAACTTGACCGAAAATGGTGTTGGAATGCCATTGTGACGATATTATTTTATAGTTTAGAAAACATAACATTGAAACACACTTTCAGATGTTTATGTACTGCCGTAAAGTGAATTCAAACGTAAAAAACTCTGGTGTAAAAAATGAAAAAAGGCTGGTGTAAAATCAGCTTCAGGAAGCAAAAGCATATCCATGGCTAAGGTCATAATTAGGCAAATTACTTTTGAAATAAATATATTGGTTTTTTAACCAAAATCCTAGCAAATAGAAATTTTTAAAGTTGAACTAAAATAGAACAATGATTACAGGTATAAATAGGTTTTTAAATCATACATTATTAGAAATAGATGTACTGATGTACATATATACTTTTTCTTCATATTGACATATTCTACTATGCAGGTTAAAAATAACCTCAGCCAGGCAATTTTTCATTTGAGCCTCAAAGTCTTTACTTTAACTGATGAATTACAGTATAATGCCTAAATGTTCTCAATTTTACTTTGCATTACCAGAAATTGGTGATGTATAGTTATTTGATCTATATATGATGAACAGTGATGTTAACTATAGAATATGTAAAACATGGAGAAAAATATAAAACCCTATACTCTCATGATGTCACCTTCATCAATAGAACAGCCATTATTAAAGGCTTTGTTAATAAACCTATAATTCTTGGGTATTTTGTGGGAGTCTACCAAATGATCATGTTTCAATGTGTATAGGATTTCTGTGGTTGTATTGTCATAATGATAACTTTTTTAAAGAGGTTGAACAAAAGTCAAAACACCTGGACAAAACACTTAAAAAAAGATCATGAACAACAATTCTTGGTATTTCTTGTGTCAAACATTAGTACATAGGAAACAGCTATGTATACATTGCATTTTCCCACTAGTGTCTGGCAATTAATAAAGCACTCATTTTCATTTTTTTTAATGGAAGCAATGCTATTGTGCAAGTTGCATCAATCTTCAAAACAAATGTTAGCAGAACAAATACATATTAAAATACTTATATATACTATGGATATCTGCATTGATGCTTTCCATGAAAAACTGGTTTGGACCAAAACTGAAAACTGCATGGTGTTTCTGGGCCATGAATATGGGGGCTTACAGGCGTTTAGACCATATGCGACTATTTTTATTAATAAAAATATTTAATTTTTGATACTTCAGCTGCCACGAAGATGCACAGACACACCTTTTAAGATATTAACAAACATGAGTTGCTTCATCATATATTATTGGTAATTAGATTATATATACAAAATTATGATACTTTTGTTGCACATTTGCCATTTGTCACAGGCAAAATATCAAATAAAATAAACATTTTTTAATATTAATAGGAAAAAAGTTCAAACTGATATCATAGTGAAAGTTCGAAACTGGACGAGCAACATGTAATTGCCTAAATGGTATTTCTGAATTTCAAGTTTCAACACTGTGTGAAATAATGTGATCTATGGTCTATAGCAGCATATTTTTATGGAATTATGTATATGGCTGAACTGAATGTTAAAAGGGGTTGTGATAATAATCTAGCAAGAGACAAGGCAACAAGGAAAATTATTCAAGTCGAATCGTTCGAAAGGATCGACTAACGTCCATATTTCCTGAAACGTGTCAGTCTAAGCATTCTAACATGTTCTTCCTTGTATTCAATAATTCAAATTATACGGTATAAATCAGTGGTATAAATACATACAAATACCAAAAACTGAGTTGATATTTTCATACCTTTGTCAAAGACAACGCTTGGATTCGTGTCCCCGTGTCGCACAAATTTCACTGAGAGCGTGCGAGCATGATGAAGTGTTTTGATGATGTGGTTTTACAAGCACACACTTCCCAACAACTTCAAAAACTCCCTCACACGACATTTCGTCGCCTTCCCACCTAAAACAGTTCATCCTTGATGCGAAGACTTATTCAAACCAATAATGCTATTAAGTTGAACGATTTCGGTAGATAAAGGAATCAGAACTTGACCTTTTCTTATGTTCGAAATTTTCCTGAATGTAATACCACAACCACAGGTAAGACTCTTCTACTCGTCAATCGTCATCAAAGTTTCAGATTCCTTGAGGTGATGTTCAAATTCCTTAGATTTCCTAAAAACCTCTGCTTAAGGTGGCTCCTAAAATTTAGGAATATTGAAAACTCGTGATTTAGATTTAAAATTTTCGCAGAAGATTTATAATCATTTATTGCTAACGGAAAGGAAATTTCCCAGATATATTGACCACTGATATTGCCCATCAAAAGTCAAAAATGTGTTATTTATAATTTCTATGCTTCTACTCGTCAATCGAATTCGTCAATCGTCATCAAAGTTTCATATTCCTTGAGGTGATGTTCAAATTCCTTAGATTTCCCAAAAACTCTTGCTTAAGGTGGCTCCCTACAATTTTAGGAATATTGAAAACTCGTGATTTAGATTTAAAATTTTCGCAGAAGATTTATTGCTAAAGGAAAGGAAATTTCCCAGATATATTGACCAACATTGTAACAGTCAGAAATCGTCCATAAGTATGACGTCATTGCCGTTGTTATGGTAGTAATGGCGATTCAATATGGCCGCTACTGCTCTAAAAAGGGAACGATGCATTTAATTCAATTGGTTCGGGGTGCAAACAGTGAGTGAAAATAAAAAGATCGTAATAAAAGACGCGCAATGAGGCACAGGGACTAGCTATCGTAAAGAGATTCGAAACTGGATTCGTAGACTGCGAAACATATTTTTTAAGGGCGGGGAAGTTGGTCGTTTTGTCTGATTAGCTATATAAAAAAATTAAGCACGAGATTCCTAAAAAGACGTAAAACAAAATTTTTTTTGAAAAGAATGGATATTTCTCCCTACATTAATAATGTACGGTATTTTTAAAAGAAATGTTCTTATAAGAGCGCTGGTGGTGAACAGACCAAATATTTACTAGACACAGAACAGGGGCAAAGCGGAAATGGCGGATCACGTAGATTGTACCTAATTGAAGTTTCGATTATATAAGTGAAGGACAGTACACTGAATTGATAAAATATGATTAAAACATTTTACTTTTTGGCTTAGTCTGATAAAATAAACTAGTGCTTGCAGTGAAATGCTATCCAGTTCGTTCTAAAATTTTTTTCAAAATGAAAATTCCATATATTATAAATTGTTATATAGCCCATGTTCAGTTTTTGTTTTCAACTTTTGCAAATTTCCATTCACTGTTATTTTATAACAAAGTCTTCATTGTAATGTTGGGCAAATTCTTCAAATTTTCACATTGTCATCATTCTAGTAGATAACGTCAGCCAGATTAATTAAGAATGATTAGGTAATTTGTGACACTGATGCAACTCTTGAACAAAGCACAGCAATAGGGCCAATAGCGTAAAATCTCCCATTGCTGTCTCTCACTTATTGACTATGTTGCTACTAACATTGACTATGTTGCCAGACTTCCAGTTGCCAAGTAGTTCTAAGGCCCTGTTCATATGATCCCGCTTACTGAGATTTCTCACCTAGCGAGACCAAAATTTCCATGTGTTCATATGGTGTTTGCATCCCGCTTACCGAGATAAAAATTCTTCGTTTCCATGGTAACTATGTGGAAATAATTTTCATCGATACAGAATAAAACGATCGCTTAAGCGATTTTTTTGCTTTTACTCATTGTTTTTCAACGTAGGACGTCAGTTACGCGATATTTTTTGATAATTTGTACTATCCCAAACGTAAAATTTGCTAAATTAGCATCAAAATCGAATATTTAGTGTTTAGATTTCATCCCGCCAAGCGGGATAGCGCGTCCATATGGCCGTGTGGGAATCGATTTATCCCGTCTACCTATGAATATGATCTCGCTTCTCAAAGCCTTTGAAAGGCGAGATCCCGGCTAGCGGGACAGTTTGTTTTCTCATATGAACGCGTTGTAACTTTTACTAGTAAAAGTAATACAAGACCCAAGCGGGGTAAGACCCCATTTAAAAAAAATAAACTTTAAAATAGCGGATATTCGTCCTCCTGAGAAAGGTTAATTCTATGACGCAACTTTTAGTTCGACAGACGAAAAATATGGAACGGCCATGACTGTAAAAGCCTATAGTGCTCCCATAATTGCTCCTCATTGAACTAAAACTAAAAGTTCTTTTGAGTTCACTGTTGCTCCTATATTTCATTTAGCGCCCGGGAACGAGGCTGTGCTTTTACATATAATGCTGCACTTTCGTCATTATATGCGGTGGTTAATTCATTATATGCAGTAGTTACATCATTATATGCTTTATTGCATGCAAAATTTCATGAAAACGGAAACTGTATCGGACCTGATGTAAAGTCTGAACTTCTGACGTCAGGAGTGATTCGGTAAATAATTGAGTGTAAACACAAAAGGTTGGCAGAACACACATACTAGTATTCAATAAATGATATTCCACAATTTTACTGATTATTTTCGGTAACTAATGAAGTCTGTTTCCAGGTCTTTGTCATTTTTCCGTCAACACGGTTTTCGAAAAGCAAGTTCGAGGTTTATCACAGCCACAGGGAAGCGTAGGTGGGATTTGCCTCACTCGACTTGTCACATCAATATTTGGCCTGGACATCGGAGTTTTTCGCACATCGTTAGGCAGCAAAAACACTCAAGCCCAGCCATAGCACGGAACAAGGTTAGTATTCTGTTTAAGTGCTGCTCTGGTTGACTATCATTCATTATAATCATTCAACCAATATATGATCTCTGGGTAATATTTTAATCGAAGTGGCTATTCCTACTGGAACAGTACGCCGAGTGTGATTTGCTATTCGTACTGCATTCGAAATGTTTCTTTCAATTTCAATATTTTAATATATAGAGATATATTATTACCTACTGCCTATTTGTATGTCATGTTGTTTATTTGAAATAGCACCTGTCAATATTAACCTCTCCTGGTGAGTTAGGGGGTGTTATTGTAAAATTGCAAAAAAGCTGCATGTATCACCAATGGCAATGAGGAAGGTTAAATGTTTTTAACCTTAATACAAAGATACTGTTTACAACTACATATTCAGAGCGCAACATTCAAATTGACTCATTCAAGAGAGCGTTATTTAATTTTGACTTATCCACCGTTGAAGCTAAATGGGCTTGATACAACTGGCTCCAGTACAATAAATTATTTTGCTGAAATAGAATACAAACTAGACAGCCAATTACTGGACTTTCCAGTAACTCTAAGAATTAAACCAATAATTCTGCAATGTTGCTTAATTGTTTATTACTGTTTAATTATTAGTTACAAACAGGGATTACATAATTATGACAGTTGAAAGTTGGGTGAGCTTGTCTAATTTTAGCAAAAAATTTAGACAAATCACTTATTTAATAAAATTACCAAAATTTTACTCCTACCTTTACTAATAATATTCAGTACCATTTTATACAATTCTCATCCCATATAGAATTTTTATTTCTTCCAATCACAAGTATAAAATGAAATCAAGACATTTCCAGGTTATAACTCAGTTTACTGGTGGTACACAAGGTTGGCACAATTAGTGAAGGTTCCTGCCTCAAATATCAAAAGAATTGCTTATTAATTAAACCTCATTAGACACATCAGGTGTCATCCCAGCTATATACATGCCAGATTTATTCTATACAGAAACAAGTTATAATAATTTCAAATTAAACACGAAAAAGACTGCTAGATTTTAGAAAAAAAAATATATACTTTTTGGAAGTGTGCTTTTGGCCAAAATTTCAATTGAAAGACATTTAAGGGCCCACAAACGTATCGGAAAAACGTTTTAAATTTTGGCCAAAAACACACTTCCAAAAAGTATATATACATATTTTTCTTTTTTCTTAAAATTTATCGTGTTTAATTTGAAATTATTATAACTTGTTTCTGTAGAATAAATCTGGCATTATACCTGCTTTGTATTCCTATTTGGATCAAAGCTCATACAGTTTGTAACTTGGATAAAGGCCATAGGCATACGAGACAGGGGAGCAGGAGGGGCACTTGCCCCCCAAAATTTCGAGAATCAAGAAATTCAGGCAAACAAAAAGAGTAACACAACTAAAATTTTTAAAACCATTTTTGAAATATATATCACATATGTATATTCTACTTCGCCATTTTTGTTACACTAGTTTCTTCAAAGCACATCTGCCGCTTTGCCAAATCTGGTAAATAAGTTATAATTCGGGCACATTGTATAATTCAAAAATTCATAAATTTTTTTTGCCCCCCCCAAACGAATATATATATATATATATATATATATATATATATATATATATATATATATATATATATATCAAGCAAGTCAAGTATCCAATTGTCCAATTGAAAAACAGTATTGTACAAAGTGACCTGTTTGTCACGCAGGTGTTTTACGCGTCTAAGCCTCGCTTTAATGCGATATATTCTATTGTGAATTGTGACCATTTACACAACAGTGGGGCTTGTTGGTAAAGATAATACCATAATGGAAACGTGATGCGAGGTGACGTTTAGTAAATCCTAAATACGCAAGTTTAATCCTTGAGAAAATAGTTAGGGTTAGGATTAACACTGCATTCGCTTTTTTCATTTTCAAAAGCAAATAAATTCAATTATGAAAGAACATTACATTTTGATTGCCATGGGCACCAGACCAGTCAAAATGTTCTATCAATGGGTAGTTACCAAGAATATCATTAAATTGTCAATTTTTTTTTCGGTTTTGCGGCACCCAATATTCGATTTTATTCCTAATTAAATGCGTTAAAGAAATGGGCTAAACAACTTGCTTGGACGCAGGAATTGTTCTAAGCTGGTTTCTCCACCAGAGCTGTAGCTAGATCGCATAATTAGGAGGGTGTATATTCATATATTCATGTTTACATGTAAAGGAACAATAGGGTTCAAAAAAAATCTTGAAAGAGCCCTAGAAACTGCTAGACATAATACCTTCCACTGCTTGGAACTTTCTGTTTCGTTCCGCACTTTTGCATATAATTGCAGTAAAAACAAGTTCCTTTTGGAGAAGAAAATTTTGCGTGAGCCCAACAAACGAGTGATATTTTTTTGTATGGATAATTGTGTAGTTTCAAAAATACTCTTCGTCGAGTTCCAATGTTTCCAACCAGCAAAGTACACCAACGCACTTCAAAGAACTCACAGGAAAGCATCCTCTTCCTGAAGTGGAAGAAGAGAAGCAAATAGAGCGAGAGAAAGCGAAAGACTACATCTTACCCCATCCGATATGGTATGTAGCGACTTCCACGGGTGTTTTTATAGCCTTCAAACATGTAGCGTAATGGACCACTTGCATAATAAACTAACTATGATCTTAGACAACAAGAAGGAAATAGATTCCCACGGTTAAAAGAGCATAGCCGTATGTCAATTGTACAACGGACGAAATTGTGTAAAGCCAACTTCGCTTGGGTGTATTTTCCTTACATTCAATATTTCACAGCCAAGCTATTCTCTTAAATTAAGTATGCCCTTTTCGGAAATTTCCTTTTGCCTAAATCAAAAGTTGGCCTATTATTCAGAGATTCAACTGTGTTGCGAGATATTATCACAAGATAATATTTACCAATCAGTACTAATTATTGACAAACCGATTCAATTAAGGTATTTTTTTTTAAATCTGACTGTTTTCGACAATGCGAGCTGGTTTGCCATTATCACACCAATTGACAACGTTTTATATTTTTTGCGCAATAAATGAATGGAATTCTCGCAATCGCCTCATTGTTGCGTTAACAAGAAATATGAACGTTACCCTATAGCTTTTCCTGGTTAATTTTTTATCAACTTGTGTTTACTTAATTGAATTCGTAGGACGGAAGAAGACACACATTCTGTTTTAATTAACCATAAAGAACCTAATGGGAAAGTAGACAAGGTTATATTGTTTTATTACGTGATCTTTTTTTAAATTGCAAAAATTGTGTAACTGATTGTAACTGATTAACCACCTGAAGTAGTGTTAGAAAAGAGCTTTCATATAAACACAGTGCATGGTAATCTGGGCTGAGTAATTTCGGGAAATCTTTGCATGTTATCATCGAGATCAGCAACAGCGGATCACTCTCTGATTATATTTTCGTCGCGCTTGCTTGTATAGGATTTGACCATGAAACAAAAATTGCACGGTTTAATTGCTATGGTGTAATGTAAGGCTCATATACATGAATATGCGTTCATGCTGTTGCATGTTACCATAGGAAGTTGTGCTGTTCGAATAGCCGTACTATAGCTGGAAGTTGAAACTTTGTTATCATGCATGTTGAATTATATTAGAATTATACATGTTGAATCAATGAACCTGGCATCTATTCACTCAATTGTAATTAACGAACGATGCATGCACCCTTATATATTCTCACAGCTGGCGTATTATGCTGTCCAAACACTACGAGTGGGCTTCGACATCGTTTCTATGTACAAAATCGGACAAATGACTGAAGACAAGTGGTTGACGTAAGTCCATGCATTTTACTGATATGTGCATGTTTTTTGATTTTATAATCTTCAGTACGCATTTCTAAATTTTAAGTAAAAGGTGGTAGGGAAGATTGCAACAAACCACCTTAAATTACTCAATTTACATATATTTCAAGACGAATTATTTTACTGGAAACGGTGGCTGGCGTTCCGGGAATGGTAGGTGCAATGACAAGGCATTTTCATTCTTTGCGACGGATGAGAAGAGATCACGGATGGATACATACTCTGCTCGGTAGGTGCATTATAACCAGCAGTCGGCTGTATTGCAATCGCGGCAATGACCATGGTCGGTGGTCATGAATGAATGTATAAGACAGTTCACCGGTGGGAAAAATTCCTCCCAGTTGTGCATAAGCAATTAATAATGGATTTTTCAACTTTCCATTTAATGCGAGCGATCGCGATTCTGCCAGAATACTGCTCAGTGTTGATCATACCACGGTACCATTCGAAAACGTGATAATATCCCGACTTCTTTTAGAGGAAGCAGAAAATGAACGAATGCATCTTATGACTGCCCTGGAATTGAAACAGCCTGGACTTATCTTTCGTGGCATGGTCCTGTTGATGCAAGGTCGGCATGAGTTGAACCCTACTATTTTTTTTGCCTTTTGTTTTGGAGTTTTGATCTTTGGTGCGGATGAGTTAGATTTTTCTTGTGTATTTGCATGCAGTATTCTTGGAATTTTCTTAAATATCAAAAAGCCTTACATACTGATCATACTTGCCTTATGTCTGATCTAACAAACTTAACATTGCTTCGCGTGTTGTTTTTCATTAATGAAATAGCACTGAATGATCAAAATAATAAATTTTTGAGAGAAATGATCTCAAGGTATAAGAGGGAAAAAAAGACTTAAAAGAAAACCGTTTTGACTTATAGTTGTCGTCGTTTTGATTAACGAACAATATTTTGCGTCTTGTCGTGCCCATGTATTCTATTTAATACATCACCTTATTTTTCAAATATTTTTTAACTTTAAGGAGTATTTGTCAATATGTTTTTCATATCGTACCTGCTTAGTCCTCGATTTTGCCATCGGTTCGTTGGATATTTGGAAGAAGAAGCAGTGAAAACCTACACATATTGCTTAGAGGTACTTTCAGTTTTGATAAATTTTAGTGACAAGAAAAATTAACACTCATGTACTTTCCAAAATCTATAATCTTTATTGCTCTAACTGCTTTTTAAAACAATTGAACAGAATCCTAAATGATGGTTACTGCGTGGTAAACATGAGGCACAGTTTTGTTGACTTGTAGCCAAATCGGAACAATATACATACTATGATACTGACACACGTGCCTAGCATTCAGAATCGTGTTGCGATATATAATTCCATGACTGCATGGGTCGTGTGTTTATATATCGCGCCGACAGATGGGTTCCAATCCGAAAACCAGTCTGTAAATCTGCATGCGCTAGCAGGCATGCAATTTAACTCGAGGAGTATTGAGAACGTGAACGTCAAAAAGGACGTGAACGTGCCTTAAAGATTGCGTGATGCGCCTATATATATATGCCACGCCATTTTTACCACGTCTTTGAGGTTCATGCTCCCATTCTAAATCTGCGTAAGGCAACGTTATACCTTGCGTTAACTACAAGGCCTTTTTTTCTCTCACCTTTATAGTCAATAGATTCCGGTGCTCTAAGTGTTTGGGAAAACAAACCGGCACCAGTAATTGCTAAAAGATACTGGAGACTGAAGGTAATAATTTACTATACTGTACGTCACTCGAACCGGATGCGAGAGTCTTTCGTAGCGGGATGTTCTGCTTTGGCGTAGGAAGCACAATATAATTTGGGGGCATGCATATATTTCTTATATTCATGTAACAGACAGTAACGACAATCTATTTGAAAAGAAATTGATCATGCAGACATGCTACTATTGCAATCTGATTGGAATTTCGTTAACTTCCTTTTGTCTTAAGATATCTGCATGAGTTTTTAGAAAATCTCAGTTGGCTTTGAGAACGATTGATTGAAATAGCTAACAATTACTCTTGTATACTGTGCGTTTTGTGAATTCATAATTGTTTAAACATGAACCTTTTTTAGTTTTCAAATTCAAATTTTATTTATTAAACTCGTTTTACAACGTTATGTCGCCAATTTAGATATACTACAAAGTCCAATATCCTGAGGAAGCGAGTTAACAGAATTCTAGGAACGAAGTTACTCGCTCACTTTGCGTTTTTTTGCAGTGCAACAATAAATCAACAATCGTTGCATATAGCCATAGGCGATTTGAGAACTAATTATTTAAATTTATTCTCCAAGGATGACTGCACCATGCGCGACGTGATCCTCGCTATTCGTGCCGATGAAGCTCATCATCGAAAGGTGAACCACACCTTGGCATCCATGCATCTTGATCAACAAAATCCCTTCGAACCATGGGAACGAAAGTTGTAAAGTTATACTCTGCAGAAAACTTTGTCAATACCAATGTAAAGTATATAATTATACTGCTTAACCCAAATCTTTTTGCTTACTGTATATATTGAACTTTTATAGCTTCAATTGGAATGCATGCATGGAATATTTCTGCAACAGAAGTGAATTTATCGCATTTCCTCTTTTAATTAGAAATGGTATAGTACAAAATTTAAATCAACTTTGGTGTTAGTGGCACTGTATATGAGGGAGCCTCGATGCATTGTAGATTGAATTTTACCAAATAAATATGCGATTAGAAACTCAAATTCTGATATAATTATGTGGACTTTAATATAAATATCGGTCTTATTGATTTAACTAAGAATAACAAGAATAATGATAATAATAAAAACAGTGATAATATGTAACATTTTATAAAAGTATTCAACACCCACGTTTTACATGATCGCTTAAAACGAATAATAGTATAATTATATACATATATAGTTGTACTACAAACACTGATATTATAAATTTCACTTATACACACACTACAATTTATATGTTCCAATTACGTCAAATTTTGAGAAAAATGCATGCATGTGCAAAGTATATTATTTGATACAATTTTTGGTCTTTTTGGATCCATTATCGATAAATAATTGTGATTGCCAACAAAAATATGTGCATACCATAATTAAAAGTTAGTAATTTTAGGTTTAGTATAATTTTATTATAGTCTTTTACGCACCGCCATTGTTCGGGTACCGCAGTTTCTCAGATGTGACAATTGGAAACTGCGAACGCTACTTTCATTGATTTTTTATAATAAATAATTATTTAAAATGTCGGTTTAACTTTCTTCGAATCTTTCACATTCTTTTTCAGAAAGTAGCTGTGCCCCAAAGCTGGAGGGGGTCTGACGTGGAGCACATGGTACATAATAATTTAGTGCCGAGTGAATTACTTTTATCACATTTCTTTTAATCATAAATATTTAACTATTGCCTATCATGCCGTGGACGCGGCTATGCGGACAAGAATATGCATGCATATTAATTACAACCAAGTATCTTTCAACAAGCCTCTTCGCATGGTCTCGGCCCTCAATTCTGCTTCTCCAAATACATCAGCCTCACATATTCATTATAAAGCTCAGTCTCGTTGAAAGGGCTCTCACAGGTATCAATCAAATCGCTTTCCATCAGACACATAAGCCGGAAGTTCGTCTCCATTTTATCCTCAGGAACTGAACAAAACTTCGCGTCAATCCGAGTCTCTTCTTCCAAACCTTTATCAATGTCATGTAATAGTTTATCGAACAGCACGCATTTTGATTCGATTTCGGCAACGCATGCGTTGGTACCGATCAATTTTGCTTTCTCCTTTTGTAATTGAGGCTTTTTCTTTTTTCGTTTTCTTTTGGGTTTTGGTTTGTTCCTGGATTACAATAGAAAAGACGGAAGAATGTAAGTTGAGTGCGTATGATATAAGTAATTTTGGAATGGATTTAAATGGTTGAATAATAATTGCATGCTTTTGCCTAACCTGAAACCACTCTACCCCAGTCATATATTGTGAACCCCATATATTTCTCATATGTCACTGACAGTCGGCGATGTATAATTTTTGTTGCCGGTACGTGATGAAGAAAACTTATTTAAAATAACAAGGCACTTCATCCATCAACTAACACGGACAACGGTCATCGTTAATAGTGGCGTATCCAGCTTTGTCCGATTTGACCCGGTATGCTAATATTTTTGAGTTCATTGACTGTAAAAACAATACATTTTTGAAGACATGATTAATTATATTACCTCGCCATTTACATAGCGAGACAAAATCGTCAGGCTAGCTACGCCACTGATCGTTAGCCGTCGAAATGAGCCAGTGAAATATGTTTCAATAACTCTAACTTAGAGTTCATTTTAAAGAAAAATTTGCCATATCCTTTCAAGTATCAAATTGAATTATTGCGTATTTACACAAGACAACACAACTATTTCACACAAGTATTTAGTCCATGCACCATATCATACGTTAAACCTAAGATCAGCAGTCTCTTATTTCGAGAGGGAAGACATGGAAACCACAAAAGTCGACCCTAATATTTAAAGTACACATGCAGTTATTTCGCGTGACGTAATAATTCACTTGAAATGTGGATCCGAAAGTTCATCATTCCAGGCTTCGTTTTTGTTGCTTCATCTGGTGCCTTAAGAGATTAGTGGTTACTACCAGTGAACTCCATAAAGACTGGAACGATAATTTCGTAGCGTCATCCGGCCGTCATCAATAGGCACCAGTGCCAGACCCTAGTTCACATAGAGTTCACTGGTTCCTACATGCATAAGGTTCTCTTTATATGATTAATACTAGCTTTAGGTAGATCTAGAGTTTAAATTCTCAGTCAAGAACTACAATACAGGTAAGCTGACCTCTAACAAATTAGATATGACATGTACCTTGAGGTCTTTTCGACGATTTTCGCCACCACGTAATCGACAAGCTCAAATTCATTTTCCATATCAGCAGTTTCCTCTTGCACTTCGGCATAGGAATCATTGATGATTGCGATGAACACATTCATTAACACGATGACATTAAGTGCGATGAAAGCGAAGAAATAGAGTGTGCCAAATGCGGGGCTAACGGATATCAGTGCTTCGAAATCAAAGTCGCCCAACGTCATGCTAAATTGAGTAACCATTGTTCGTACGAATGTGCTGTAGTCTTCAAGCTCCGTACCGAATACGCTGAACGCAAACAGACCGAACGCTAAGAATCCAAACGTAAATGGGATAAAAAAGCTGATGATGGGTTTGCTGATGCGGGACAACGTTGTGCCGAGTATCAAGAAGTTCTTATTGAACCTCAGAAGGCGCAGGAACCGCAGAATGTAGAAAAACACAAGGATGCCAATGATGGACGTCATAGCTGTATCAGCCTGCCCTGCGTACTGAAAACCGACGTAATCGTTCGGATTCTCGCGGAGTTCGAGTAAATTTCGATCCACTTCGTACAAACGTGCCAGAAATAGGATGATCAAACAGAATTCCGAGACGACAAGAATCGTTTCGATCCAATTCCAGAAACCCTTGAAGTAAGCCCAGCGTTGCTTGTAGAAGAGCTTTCCTTCTCTGTATAGGAAGTACAACATGAAGAATATGACTAAGATGTGAGCGAGTGTTTGACCTCCGTTAAGATGAAGGTAAAATCGAGAGGACTGGATCTGAACCTTGGTTACAACGCCTGAGGAAGACGGAAATTCGACGAAAAGTGATATTATGCCAAACAGGTTCGTGTTTGCATTGTAAACGGTAAATTCCACAAAAACAGCTCGTGTTTGCCTTGTGACCCAGTCATTCGAATGCAGATCAGCGACAACAGTGTATGCGGTTATTTGATCATAACCAAGATTAGCTGCATAACCACCCCCGCCATACATGGCGATTTGTCCCCAGTAGGGGAAGCCCCGTATCTCAAACATGGATTTATGGCGCCATCTCTCAAGGCAGGACAAGATTTTTCCGTCTCCCAAAAGAGCGTTGTTTTGAACGACGTACGACTTCGGTCTCGCGCTAGACAAGAGTCGATTCTTCCTTCTTCGATTTCGGCCACTTTGAATTGGGTCAATCGCTCTTTTTCGGCGATAGACCCCCCCTGGATATCCCGACTGTTCTGTTTCCTCCAACATTTTCAACCAATCATCTTCGCTCTCCGGACCGGGAGTTCTTCGACGTTTTCTACTGGAAGAGCCATGCAGTGGTTTCCAACCTACCTCATATGCTCCCTCGTCTTCGTTCGCTACGGAGTATGCAGCATTGCAGGTAGGAATAGTGTCTTTGAAATAGCTGGAAACTGTGCATGTACCTAGTGAATGAACGATAGAGATCTAGATACACGCAGATACATACGTAATGAACTTTTAGTATAATTTCAGTGTTGAAAAATGGCATTCTGATTGTCTCCCTCGCCGGTAACTTTGAGTTTAATATGTAGTTACTACCCAGAAAAAACTACTTGTATAGAATGCCAATTAACGGGAATAATCAGAATGCCAATTACCAGTAATAGGCTTGTAATCACCTCGCCTTGCGCGACTACTTCAAATAGCATTTTACGGGAAAAATTACCAGTATAAAGAATATCCCTACAAAGAAAAATGTCAGGCACAAACCTTCTTTCACACGAAGCAACCTGACACGCGGAACACCGACAAGATAATCCTCCATGTTTGCGAGATAACCTTTTTCAATTATCTTTCCGTTGTACCATTCCGTTGAGTACAATCCAGGGATAAGAGTCTCGCGAGCCCACATCCACAGAGAATCACTATCAACGATCTACGCAAAAAACAATGCACAATATATTAATACAGTGAATAATATATCAGGCGGTAAGGAATCTCAAAAGGCCTAACTTAATCTTCAATATATAGCACGCGTATTTTCGTTAAGCGTACCCGAGATATTGATTAATCAAATTTATCACGGATAGAAAAGAATGTGTAACAAAACGCCACAATTTATTAAAACATTTTGAAAGCCCATTTTACTTAATTTTTACATTATTTTGTGAAACGTAGCTTTAAACTTTATTTGGCGACATCGCAGTCAATATGTTAACGTGGTATATCTCGAAATTCAACTCTTATAAGTCAGGTACATTTTTTCGAGCCACATAGCTCTTAAAGCAACGCCAAAGTTTTCTTTCGTCACCCGTTTCGGATGTGTTTCCAAATGGCTTATTAATGAGTAAATTATCTCAATTGCAATTCGAATCTATATAACAGAAAATCTCACTTGCAATATGTTAGCTTACCACGTATAGTGGAATGGAAAATGCATCGACGTCGACAAATGTTTCTGTCAATGTCTTGGTCAGTAAGTACGTATTCGGATCCCTGTGGTATTGAGCCACGTCCATCAAACAAATAAGAAAGAAAAAGAACGCGAAAATTTCTTTCAAAGCTGAATTCATCTTCAGTTCTTTCAGCCGTTTTATTCTCGCTTGCTTCAGTTTGGCTGCACCAGGAGGTCTAAAAGCAAAAGAAAATTCCAATAAAACTAATAAAATGCAATTGCATGATGCCTTTCATCCCGCGCGAACAGCTTTACCTTAAAAATCTTTTCGATTTTTTTCCGAGGATTGTATTTTCATATGGAATGTTTCCTTTCTTCTCCTGTTTCATTTCAGTTCCTTCCTCAGATATTCTATCCTCCTTTACAAGCGTGACACCATTTGTCTCATTATCTGTATCAGCTGGTTTGCGAATGAATAAGGCGAAGACAACAGCTAGTACAACTACTTTCACTGGTTGCAACAACAAAGCCGATTGGAGGAATGATGTTACCATGGCAATAACCCATTCGGTCGACGTTTCCTTTCCCCATTGAATACTGCAAGGTATAGTTTAGTATCATAACTCGGTCCTAATAAATGAAGCTTTCTCGCGCTAATTTACACCACACAATCGCAAAAAGATCTTTTTGCTAGTCTTTCCTTCAAATCAGGTACGGCTTGGAATAAAATGCCGAAAATCAAGCACTCAGTTGGAAGAAGCTGGATATGGATAATGATGTAATGACTGCAAAGGTTATCCTATCTAAAAGCTGCGGAAAACATCTTGATAATTTGCTTTACAACTAGGTGATCTCGAACTTCTGTTTTAGCTATAACCAGCGCTTAGAAGAGTTGTCGAAATAGAAATTTATTCCACAGCATAAATCGACGAAAGCTATCTTTTGTTATTCTTTATGAAGTTAGTTTCGACTAACTGTGATTATGTTTAGTGGTATAAGAGCTATAATTCTAATGTAAATTTGAAACCTAAATAAAGGATATTTCAGGAGATAATGAGTTGTTTTAACCAAAAATTGTATTTTTATTTGACTACAAGTCCCTGTCCCTTAATTCCCACCATTTCCGATCACCTGGATACCATACAATGTAGGCGTTCTTTTTCGCTCCACTTACCTGTAAAGCAACGTAAAGAATATCGAAGCAGCAGACGCAAGATAACAAATGGCGTAAGCAATGTAGATAAACCAGTACGGAAGTTTTTCCTTTGGCTCTTCTGCGTTCGGATCTTTAATTTTCACTCCATTTGGATTTTTCGCCTGGAGGTCCTCATTAGCGTCGTCCTTTTCTTTCTTCGGGCGAAGGTTGCGAAAGATTTGCACGAGCAAGACGTTCACGGGCACAATGATCACACTGCTCTGCAGGCCGATAACGAAAGGTTTCAAATCGATAATTAGGGATCCGATATGGATTGAGTATGGGCTCGGACCCTGTCCTCCCATGTTGTAAAACATCGCGCTCGTGATCATCGTGCAGCACAGTAGGCAAAGGGCACAGGATAGACGCTGGACGCGTGTGAATTTACTGGTTGGAGGTCTGGAGACAATGGAGAACCATATATGCCCATCTGCGAGACCTTTAATTGCACGGGCCGAAAACAAATGACTGAAGTTTGTCATATCTTCTTCGTTTGCCACGGGAAGGACTCGACATACTTTGCCATCTTCTGATTCCACAGCTAACCAGTTTTCACAAAGTAACGGCCACGTTTTCTCTGTTTGTAGATCTTTTATAATTATTCGACTCAGATACCAAGATGGTGATGATCCTAAGAAAACAAATCAGTGTGAACTACACGGCATAGCCTCATGATTGCGCCTCAGTCACTGCTATCACACCTTTGCAAGGTTAAAATTTTGTTTATTGCATTTTAAAGAAAACTTGTTCTGGTTGAAGGCTCAAATTTACAAAACAGTTATGCAATTATATCAGCACATTGTTGTAGAGTAATAGGTAACAATGAAGTAGCTATAGGCAATGCTCTCGATAAGAGTTTACCATTACCTGAATTATCATGCCATATTTGGACATAACAAAGATCACCAATACTCTGAGGATAAGACACAACAAACATGTTCTCTTGTTGACGTTCGAAGCAAGGTCTGTGTCGATCGTGCAGCCTTACGGGAATTGTGTCTCCCAGATCCCCAGACATTTTGAAAACAACTCTTGCCGTTGTCCCGGAATCTTGTCGACTACCGGTGTAGGTGGTAATGAGATAATGATAGGATCCCTTGGGTTTCGGCAAAATAGTAGGACCAACCTGTAGAAATAGTAGGACAAATTTTTAAAGAAATGAGGATGAAGTTAATATGCACAAGGAGTTCTGCATACATCTAACATAAACCTGCAGTAACTTGCAGGTAAATTTGCTGATGAGATCAAATATTATTGCTGCTAAGGTGGCTTCCTAAAGACCCGTTTACACGTGCAATTTTTGCTGCGATTTTATGTGCGATTTTCTTCTTTTGATAAATGCGAATGAGTGAGTAAGTTATGGATGTACAAATATGGACACTTATATATTAGAGGATTCATGCATAACTTTTTGCTCGTTTCCATCTGCCAAAAGAAGAAAATCGCACTGAAGTGTAAACGGGTGTTAAGATTATATTTGGTGAAATGTCGAAAATATTCTTCTCATGTCAGCCATTAAGTGTGAACCAAAAATGCAACAATGTATATAATATTGAAGTTACAAACCATTAACGAGTCTTTCTTATCGGCTCGTCTCGCCCAGATAACCCCGAGGATATATAAACCAAGAATTGTTGATATCAGCGCCAGGACAGCTACATTCTCAGCAAGGCTCCCAAAGTTGTTGAAAACCGAATCGAAGTCGATCGGATTTGGGGCGACAAGAAGCTCACTTCCAAAAGACGTTAGATGATTACATTTACACAATATTTGATTTTTGTTAGTACCCGAAACAACCTGCCATGACGAAAAATGAAAACTGGTCAGTGACTGCTTTTATTTAATGACTGCATTAAAAAAAAATCCCGCCTGTCCCGTACGCCTATGGCTGTGCTGTTCTGTTCTGCTTCGCTTATGCCTGGTTTCCATCGTTTAGTCGTGACTGTCGTGAACAAGTCAATTTCACCGATGAGAAATAATCCGGATGTAAATTTGTCTTTACTTCTGTATGCGGTCACACACACATAGAAAGATTCCATCACATCAGCCACCTTCCCACGCTTACGACACTCACGACTAAATAGAAACCAGACATTACAACGGCTGCGGTGAAAAGAGCTTACCTTGCACCCGTCACCAGTCCACGTCTCGTTATTCTCGTCCCAGTAAAGACAGCTCGATTCATACATTGATAGATTGTAGTTGGGAGTTTGGTTTGGGAAAAAGTACTTCCCGTCGAATCCAAGGTTGTCTGGTACTTGAAAGCGAACAGACCTGGGTGGATCAGTAGGTTTGGGGGGTGGGGAAGGTATAATGACGCACGAACGACGTACACGTCTTCCCTCCTCTCCGCACGAGATTGAACGTCTTCGACGAGATTCTGTTTCGGCTGAACTGGCATCATCTCCGTTCTGCTCTATTGGTCGGATATGTTGCACAGCTGAAAAGGATTATACAACGATGCATGAAAATTTTGCACTAATTTACATATTAACATTGTCGATTATTATATCTTTTGGACATATACAAAAGAATTTCTGGTAGGGAAAATCTGGTGGTAGGGCAAAAAACTGCGGTGCAACAATACATGTAAATTGATTCCATTATCTTTAAGCTATTTTCTATTTTCCATCAACTGTTCCTGGCTTGAATTTGAAGTGGTTATATTTCCACTCGAAATTAAGACCCTTTAAACCTCAATTTCCTAGTTTCCCCACTATTTGTAATAAGGTTAGATTCAGGATCTCTGCAAAATTATTCATTAAATCAATATGAAGTAAAATATTCGAAGTTTTTCCTCCATGCAAAAAGTTTTTCTCAGTAACCACTCCCCCCCCCCGGCATATGAAAGTCAAGGTACGGTCCGGTGAAAGTCAGGATCGAAATTTAGCAATTGAATATACACGATGTTTTTCTATGCATGTACACTACCAGTGAGCAGTACGTTTTGGCCAGGGGCTATTTTAAACTGACATGCAGTATGCTATCTGGAGGCATACATACCAAACCAGAAACGTCCAGAACCACTCAAGTGAACGTTTGATACAAAGACTGAATACGGATTACTTGTACAGTTCTTGAGATCAACATAGATAATTCCGTTTGCAGTTGACTCGGATCCGCCGTTAGAGGTATTTGACACGCTTTTGTTTCCCCCTAAACAGCTGCTCAAGTCCGGCAACTGGAAAGACAATTGAAAATCCCTCTTCACGATGTCTGGTTTCGATCCTTTCTTTAGGTAAACCGAAAACTGTATTCCCAGATCCACCGGTTCCATATCGAAATTGATCGAGGTGAAATCGCTCTTTCGTTCGAATCTGTGGTATTTCAAATACTCCTTGGTTTTCGCCGTAGTGTTTTCGCGACTTGGCTTCAAGAAAAATGCGTCAGGCTGAGGAAACAGGGTGGGGTCACGTGGAATAGTGATTTCGAAATCCTCACTAACGTTCGAAGTAGAAATGTTCATGTTTGACTGCATCTTAATATCAACGACGTTGGATGATAAAGTTTCACTTGTATTGTCCCAGCTAAACGGATTCTTTTTGGACACAGCGATCTGAAATTAATACAAATGTCACGCTTTTAATACCAACTATTATTACTTGACGGTGTCAATTCTGAGAGTTGCAAGCGCAATCCTTGAAACATACTTTTTTAAAACAATATTTACGAAAAAGACATAATTGTTGTGCTTGTAATACCTTGAGATCCACAGGCTGCATCTGAGAAATCGTTTCGTTCTGATTTTCAACAACTATACACAAATAAGGGAACAGCAAGTTACAAATACAGCGGTTCGAGTCAAACCCTCAGTTTATTAAACTCGCCCTCACATATACCAGTTTGAGAATATGTTTATCAAAAAGAAAAGAAAATCTATTATCACAGCGCGACATGCAAATTTTCCATCATGATAAATCGTTGGCCGTCCTACTAAATTGTCTTACCAGCATCTATTCCTAGTGAAGCCGACGAGGGAGATCCAAATTTCGCCCCCTTCACAGCATTAGTCTTCTTAGCAGAGTTCTTCATCATCACCTTTTCTACTTGCATTGACAGGCCGTCAGACTCGACGTTAACTGGTGGTTCATTCGCCACTAAATTGTCCAACAAAATACCCTGAATGTTGTCGACCAGTCCCATGGAACGCTTCACTTGATCCTAGCAAATGATTGAAAACATTGAGCACCTTTCAAAAATCTTCTCTTTTAATGGTTGTGGGCAATATTCCTATCTACTTTATCTAGATGTTTTCATGAAATATTCGATTAAACGCAACGAAGTATCCGTCATCTTGTTTTATATATCTGTGCCTTCATTTATTATTATAGATGAAAGTCTGGCAGGACGGTATTTTGCGATAACTTCTAGAAAAGTTGTATGATTTTAACATGTTAATAATAAGCAAATAACCATGGGATGTTACTTGTATAATCCGGAATTAACAGTATACTAATTTCCGTACAATTAATCCCGAATTGTACTCGCCATCGCAAGACTAATCTTAGCTAATTGAGACCTATATAGTTCAATTCATAAGCGAAAGAGAAGTGATGCCCAAAGTATTTTGTAAATTTTTGGAGTGTTCTCATGCCCCACTCCTCGGTATAATGTTTCTCGCGTTCATTCTTATCTGCATATTTTTCATTTCATTACAAAAAAAAGTTGTAAAATCAAGTAATAGCCAGGTGATCTGATATAGCGGGAAAGGACTAGGACTAGTTGTCATATAAAAATCCATTTCTCGGTTGAAACAACTTAATATCTCGGGAAATATACTTTATTTCGGTTTCAAATTTATATCATAGCTAAAGTTCTTATAACTAAACATAATCGCAAAATTTTGAATGTTTCCATCAAGAATAATAGAAGATATAATCGATTGAACACTGCAGAATGGATTTCTATTTTCACAAACTTTCTGAGCGCTGATTGGCTGAAATATGAGCGCGAGATCACCTGGAGGTTTACTAAAATAAGATTGATAAGACTAGTTGATACATAATTTTATCCTCATTAAAAATATTTTGGAGAAGAGTGGGCAATAAAGTAACTGTAAGTTACCACTTGACCCTCTCCACCTTTTTTAAGCTGAACTTAATCATCTCTATAAAGTTTTACCCACCGAAGCTTCTGTTCCATTGCTAGAATTGCCGGCTTCCTTCGCCATGCTTGTTGTCATTTGACCTATACCACCGACAAGATTCGAAGCTCCACGCAAGACATTAGAGAATCCTTGATCCCCGTCGGATAATCCTTTCAAGTTGCTTGTCAGGGTCTCTGTCATTTGAAGTGCAGCACCCTAAGATAGCAAAAATAGGCCCATATACATGCAGGTAAGTAATTTTCTGATCGGATTCACATGAAGGTAGGTAATTATAGGCGGTGTTTGGCGACGATCCATCTATAATTATTGTAATTTTCTAATTTTTAACACGCTGCTGCGCACAATTTTTGAATGTTCGGCTGCACCACGAATGAAACGAAAATGTAGAGAAAGCTACAAATTTTATTCCTCACATGCAGATCACATGCATGTATTTTTCGTCGCCACCGTTTCCATGGTCATACTTGCGGACAAAATCATTCGTATAAGCAGTTGCCTTGTTCAATGTATTCATTACTCGTTTTCGTCAAAGTAATTAAGAAAGTACTTCCTAATGTTTGTCTCACTACGAGTTTCTCGTAACCATGGACAGATTTCTCTAGGAAATTGTTTCAGGAGGAAGGATTCCAATTATAGAATTCAGCGGTTATAGCCATTTTGAAGTTTGCGGCTAATGCTCCTTAACGTTCACTGGCTATTTTAGCTGAATCCAAAGACGTTTGTCTTTAGACGAATCCAAAGACTATATTTCTAGACGCAGCGGTTCTTTCGTGCCTACATTTTCACATAACCATCGGCCTCGTGACGAACAGCCTTATGTCACACTAAACAACATACCTGGCTTGCAGTTTCTAACTCTTCCGTATTTTTCGTTAGCGCCAAAACGGTCGCGCTCATTTGTTCCAGCGAGGATGCATCTTTAGCCGATAGATTTGCGCTGGCTAGCGACATGATGAGCTGTGTTCTGATCTAATAAAACATCGTTTATATTATGATCACATTGGTGTATCGTACGTGCATTGGCGTATCTCTTTGTTTCAAAGACACTGGTTTTAAAATAGTTTGACACGCTTCTTCTGAAAACTGACTTATGGCTATGCATATCTATGCATATCAATTCAGGCATTTTAAATCCCAACGAACTTGTCATCAATAATCTATAATTGGCCACATTAACTATCCGCTCAGCGAATGCATATTTAAAGTTAGTAATCTTGATTCGCAAGGTATAAATTGCTGCACAGTTAGTTACTTCCTGTCCTGCACAACGTAATCTCAATCTTACCTGTTTTGACGCATCCTTCTGTGACGTTGTGCTGCTGTCATTTGACGTCGTATTGTCTTTTAGGCCATTCAGTGTTGAAGCGACATTTGAAGCAAGACCTATCGCTAGGACACTGTTACCTGTCTCGAAGAGTTTTGCCATGGCATTGCCTTCTCCTGAAACTAAACTTTCCAGCTGGTTCATGTCGATACTCTCTTCCGGCTGCGGAACCACCTAAAAGATGTCCAGAAAGGTCTTTATGCTCAAAGACAAAAAGACTATAAAAACAAACCTGAATGTCCAGGTAGAGTATTTGCCACAAAATAGCGACTTTGCAAGATTTTTCATTTGTTAGAAGGAAATTAAATTCATGCATATTATGGCATAATTGTTTAAAATCATGCACAGAAAATAGTGTCTTTTTATCCTTTTGATTCTCGAACCTCCATTATACAATTAACTCGTATTACCTTGACTACGAAGTTCTCTTGGAATTTACCACCAAGTTTGTCTTTAACAACGACACTTGCGTTTACCACGTAATCACTCTCTTCATCTCCGGCTGGCAACCACAGCGTTGCACTAATTTTCCCCTTGTTTGTGAGTTCTCGAAAGAAGAATACCGTCTTTGTACCCTTGATTAAATGTGAAAATTCCACTGTAATCGGGACATCTTCATCCTCCCAATTTTCGCAAGTGACGGTGAAGTTGGTTTCCATGGCAACCCCAGTCGAAGGTGAAAAAGACCATTTGCCTACAGAGGGGCCAGGTAAATTTGTCAATTGCGAGATGCATGAAACAATATTGAATTGTTCGAAACTATAGTTAAATCAGCGCATGATGAAACCAGTGGCGTAGAAGGCACCATAACTCATATTCATACATTCTAAACATTCATGAACACCTTTAAACTAATAGACCTTTTTCATAATGACGTCAAACGCGTGAGAGCTGAGTGGAGCCAATCAAATTTCGTGTAACATCAGACTTTCCGCGTTTGACGTCATTATAAGAAAGGTCTATTGAAATTTCACGACCTTCTGTGTGAAATACCAAGAGGCAGAGCTAGATCGCTTAATTGGAAGGGGAGAAGGTATTCATATATTCATGTTTATATACCGTTGGAACAATAGCGTACAAAATAAATCAGTCGAGTATAATACGAATATATGAATATACACACACCCCTCTAATTAAGCTTCTAGCTACGCCCAGGAAATATCATTGTATTTCATACCATTGATCGGAGCGTTGTTAGTTATCATAGTATATCTCAGTTCACCAAAAACACCGTTAGGTCGGAATGCGCGAAATACCAAGCTGTATTTTTTTTCAGGCTCAAGTGATTTCGGTTTGAGAGCGATTTCCAATGCATCGATTGGGCTCGTAGTCATCTCTATGAGCTGGCTTGAAGGAAATTCGTGCAGGGAGGATAGATTGAAAGGTTCTGGGGTGCTTATATCATCGTACCGATACAATGTCCAAGTAAACGCCAGTTCACCATAGCAACGAACGTTGCATTTCGATTTTAAAATCAGCTTTTCGTCCCGAGCCACCTTGGAATGGCAATTCTTGGAACAACTATAAAAGTAGGCAAGAATCTAACATGGGAGGATATCAGCGCCTAGAGATTTCAAATATTTCCAACAGCTATCTTATGTTTTGAGAAGGACAAACAGCTTATTGGGAAGCATTGTTGATTCGATTTGTTTCTATTTAAGAACTGAAAACTATATTTTTGCACACAGTTCAGAAAGACCCCGAGCAAAACGTTCTTGGGCAACTCATCCAGACAAACCATTGACAATGTTGTGAAGAAATATTTTTCCCACTATGTCAATTTAGTATAATTTAAATCACATTACCCTGCTGGTGTAACGGGAGGGTGTCAGTGTGACAATTGATTCGAGCTTGAACGAGGATCAACAAAAATGACCAAGAAAAATTTGATTGCATATTCAGAGGGAATTCAGTTTCGAAAAACAGACAGATACTCTGTTATCTGTTGCTGAGTTGCTGATTAATGTACGTCGAATGGGTAAGCTGGACTGGAGTAAGCAGAGATATTACAAAGTGTTTACGCAGTCGGGAAAGGAATACTCCCAGCCCCAAATATATAGGTTTCAGTGTAATTATAAATTTTAATTTTACAGTATCTTTATCAGTTTACCTTACGACCAGTCCCGGGGGTAGACCTTTCGCCACATGGAAATAGATATTCCTCAAATGTTTCCTAACTGCAAAACCTTGATGGCTGGTTGACACCACGAGCGAAATTACATAGCTAAAGATGAAACAAAGATATTTGAAATTCAGTGGAAATCTGTAGAAGATAAATTAGAGGGCGAGGAAAATTTAAAACAAGCTACATAAGATATAGCACTATACGGCAAATCGGCGATCTCTTTATCATGTGTATCCAGATTTATTATATTATTTCGAAATCAATGGTGTTTTTTGCAATCTGATTGTTTAAAAATAGTGTGATTAATTCTCAAATCGTACTATTTTTGAGCATTAATCACATCATTTATAAGCCAATAAGATTGAAGCTCTGCACCACAATAACCAATCAGATTTAGTATTTAAGTGTAACTATCCAATCAAATTACAGAGGAAAATAGTACAAAATTTTATTATTTGGAATTTTAAAATGCTCCGCAAAATTTCTTGGCAAAAATAGATGAAAATTACTCACATTTTACATCGTTTACGGTTCTTTCAACCAAAAACTAGTTTTGAATTTGTTTAATCTAATTGCACTCCACTCAGTGGAATTACCATTATTAATCACCAATCAAAGTAATCATTAAATTTTTTATAGAAAATAATTAGGAAAAAAATTTCGATCCAGAACCCGAACAACAAATAACATATGCTAATTGCGCTATTGTAAACAGTGCTGCTGGCTTCATTCATATTTTATAGGTGATAACTCCATGTCCACAACAAGTTGGAATTGAGCAAGGAATCGGCGTTTCAGCCGGAATAAACTGGGAATGGAGGTTAATATACTCAATACAATATAATATACTCACAATTTGTCCTCAACCATCGTATTTGTATCGAATTCCACGATCTTATCGGTGCTATCCAATCGGCCACGCCCGGTCCCAAAACACCCACCAAGCTAATAATTAAGAAATTTTGGAAATATTAAAACTGTTCGGGCCAAAAGCAAGGGGAATTTATCTATAGGAAGTATATTTCTGTACACTTCTCTTAGCACGAGAAAGTGAGAAAGTAACGTATCCATACTCTTCGGGAATTGTGAGTCTGTTAACTTCATGACCGACACGGGTTATTGCATATTCGTAATTGTTCAGCAATGTAGATCATTTAGATTTATAGCTATGTAGGTATACACGACGTTGCGGCTTGACCTCAGGGTCATCTGTTAAATATAACTATACCTAAATAATTTGACCACACTTTAAGTGGATCATGTTATTGGTCATGCATGACTTACGTCAGGAGTCGGGTAAGACGCAGGCGGCGTAACAAGTGGCTCCTTATCTAGACCAGACAACGTGAATTCGGCATCTTCAACATCTCTGCAGTACCAAGCAAAGCTCATCGCATCTGTACTATTGAAGTCTGGATCTATAGATGCCGATGCGTTAAGCGATCCCTGCATTAAATAAAATGGGGGAAAAGCTTATAGTAAATTATACACAAAACTAACAGGTTGAAATTAACAAAAAAATTTTGGATGATTCTGAGAGAACTGAGAGAATTTAAAATTCAGTAAAATGTTTGCTTAAAATTTGGCATTCTTACGTACGTGAATTAGGTTAAAATAACCTCACTGAAACTTTATTGTAACCTATTTTTATACAACTTAAATCCAGGTAATAGGTTGACATGACGATGATAAAATCTATTTGATCTGCTTTTCGGTTTGGCACAAGCATGCACGCTTACAACTGTATGTTGAGCAATTTTCATGCAATTCTCGTGATTTTTAGTCACTAGCTTAGACTAAAGGGTCGGCAAGAAGGCGGCGTATGGTGAAAAAATATCATATCTCTCATTTAGCTATTTGTGTATAGAGATTTATGCACATGAAATAATGATGAAATAAAAATCGTATTTCACTAGGTAAATTAATTTCATGCAATTTGATTGGACGTACTGTGTTTTTCACGTGTGAAAAATGCCATACACGGCTTTCGATTGGACGCACGATATTCTTCACACGTGAAAAATTGTCGAATGTCATTTTGGCGGCAATTTGTTTATATGTTTTTTCAAGATGGCGTCAAAATATAGGTGTGCGAGAGACTCAAAACATAATTCTCATATTGAAGACATTTTCACATTCAGCGCATTATAAAATCAGTATGAAAGCTTAATCTCCCTAAATTTATCTTAAACCATGCGTGTAGCTCTATCTTTCAATGGTTTCGTCAAACAATCGATCGCTCAATCGACAACGAACCCTCCGACAATGTAAACTAGTTTCTTACCGGAAATTTGTAAGGCACAGTGTAAAATGATCCAATCGTTGCTTCTGCAACGATCCAAGGAGTCTGGATAATCTGAATATAGAGTGTACCAATTCCAAATACGTTCGGTATACCCCACATCTCCACACGGGCACTTATCTCGTAGAATCCAAAAGGTAACATTCTTTCAGAAATGGAAAGGTCCGGGGAAACAATGCCAGTAAGGAATTCACTTTTTCCTAAATCGGAAACTTTCATCTTTGGAGTTGTGGTCAAAATAACTGGATCGTCGTCAATGCTATAAACGGTCCAAGATACTTTGACGATTTCTGTTGGTTCGCAGAAGATTTCGTTTTCAGTGGATACGAAAATTAACTTAGAACGATACACCTGTGGCGCCTCTAACAGATTAGATTTGTTCACTGGTAGACCTATCAAGAGATAAAATAATAGACCCTTTTAGTGTGGAGCTGAAATGTTGCGAGATTAAGGTCCAAGAAAGTAATCGATTTTCTGAGGTTCCTTCATAGTAAGAAAAACAGCAAACAATAACACTAAAAATATGTTCTAGTTACCTGTAACAGTCACATTTGGATATTTACACACGAAAGGAATAACCACTGCAATCAAGCTTTCCGTGACATTGGCTAGAAGATTTGCAGCGCTCATCTTCACATCGTATGCACCAACACCCGGGTATTCATGCGCAATCGTGATCGTTGTCGTAGTTGAATCTTTCGGGAAAAACCGTAAACGCGGTTCTTCGACGATTTTTGGGTTGATTTTGGAGACATCAAACTTATTTTCGCACGCCGCATCGCCAAACACAAGCAGAGAACTGTTATCGCCAAGATCCATTACGACGCAAGTGCCTTGGCCAAATTTCTCAAATGATATCGTGAACGTCATAGTTTGATTTGGCTTCAAAGGACCGTCATATGTCAAACTGGTGAAGATAATACTTTCCTTAAGGTCGATGGTCTTAACGTCGTGACTTGTGCTTATGTTGTTCGTTAAATTCAAGGTGATGACGCATATTTGAGCTGTATCACTTGGGAAAGTTTTATCAAAGGAAAGTTCGCTTTCGTCAGTTATTGTTGGACTCACGCTGCAGCTGAATGTCCATTTTATAATACTAGCTGGTCCTCCATCGAAAGTGGCACTCATCTTTACCGGATACTCCGTTGGAAATACGTTTCTTTGGCTGCCTGTTCCGTCAACACCAATACCCCAGCTGGCATAGCTAGTCTTCGTGGAAATACGGACATTTTTTATTATCTTCAATACTTCAACGTTTAAATTCACGGTTTCATTCGAAACGCTGTTGTAGGCGTAAATGCGGAAGTCGACAAGCCCATCAGGATCAAATCGAGCAGGATCGGTTACGAGGCAGTTGCACTGACTGGTGTGACCACCAATATGGTTTGTTGCGCTTCGGTTACAACACATAATCTCGTTATAATACACCTCAACTGTAACGTAACTCCCTTGATCCATTTCCCAAACAACCGAGATATTATCGCCGAATCTATGCGCTGGTATGGGCGTCACGGAAAAGTTAGCGATAGGCCATATAACCTCTGTTGGAAGACCAAAAAAAGGCTTTTTAATTCAACGATGTACTTTGTTGGAAAATAACAATTATTAAAACTTACCGAATTCACAATTAGTTCCCCAGAAGTTTATCGTACATGTGCAATTATACATATTGACGAAGTCATTGCATGTTCCATTGTTTAGACATGGGTAAGATAGGCACTCGTCGATTTCTTTAAGAAAATTAGATTGCACAAGCATTAAAGAGTCGTTCTTGCCCTTGCGAAATTGTTTCTTAAGATTCAGTCCAAATATTAAAAAAGACCACTTAGAGGTGTATTGGACCTGCATGCGAGGGCTCGAGGTCAATTTCAAAGCTGGGGGCTCAGCCCTCCTGCACAAATCTTCGAGACTGCATAATGCAACTGTTTAGTATTTTCTGTGTGTGAACATTTGTATGATTTCAAATATGACCTGTTTTGCTCATTGGTAATTGTACCTGTTAAAATGCTGCCATTCCGGCAAAAGTTCGAGTTTGTTAGAATATTAAAATGTTTCGCCCTTCTGGGAACTATAAGCGAGCCTTACTAAAAATCAGGCAATACACCCTCAAGACATCTTAAGTAATACTGTACCTGTCTCACACAGTTCTCCCGTGTATCCGGGAAGGCATGTACAGGTGAACGAGTTGAAGAAATCAAAATGATCATTGCAAGTTGCATTATTTTGACACGGTGAAGGATCGCATACATCAGCGTCTGCAGAAGGAGGAATATGTCGATATTAATGATGGCAGAAAAATAATTGTGCTAAAAAGACGGTGAAATTAATTCGAAACATACTGTTGCCAATATTTCCAAATGCTAATTTTAAACATTTTTGCAAGCATTACATGCACTAGCTGGCAGTATAAGGCTGGTATGCTGATCCCATTTGTTTTAAGTAACTAGTTCACTTGACTTTGTTTCAAAAATATTTTATTTATGAAAAATGTTGAAAAGGCCGGGTTTTGTCTCATTAAGTCGTTATTATCCATGTGAATCAGTCATATTGTGAAGAAAAACAATAACCTCTCAGGAAAATTGCTGAATGGTTGTAATCTCAAAATTAATAACAGCGAAACGAGAGAAGAAAAAATGTCAAAAATAAAACCTGCATTAAACAGATGCAAAACCTTACCTTCGTAACAGCCAACAAATTCAGCTCTCATAGCGCAAGCCCCATGGCAATCCACTGGAGTGATGCGAATAATCTGAAGGCGAACCATTGGTGACAATGTGTGACTGACAACTGTATTTCTATCAGAATTCCCTTCGAATGCCTACAAAAAAGGAGAGCCGTGATACGGTATAGCGCTGCAAGTGGTGATCCATTTGCAAATTCTGAATATATCATGCATTGTATTCGAGTCATGCAGCCATTTAGAAGTACGACAATACCTTGCTTCGTACTCCATCTCCCAAACCATATATATGAGATATGCCCGTTTCGTTTTTGTATGTGACATTGTAGTATCGCACCCACTGATCATAGTCTGGTCTTCCTTGCGTCATTATTTCCCTAACAGTCGTGTTATATATGAAATCCACCTCGAACCACATGTCTGGGTCTTGTGCCATCGCTATCCAAGCACCATGATGTGAGAATATTGTGGCGTTTGCTCTGCCGTTTGCAGCTGCGCAACGTCCGACAAACTTTGCATCATCGCACTCTGACGATGCCGTAATCTGGTTGTCCTTGATTTGTTTGTTTTCCATGCCAAGTGGAATTGGATTTAAGCAACGTGAAGGAATGACTAAAAATTCAAGTAAATAAGATGTTCTTCAAGTTTAGTCGAGGAATAGTTGATGGGTACACACGTTAAAATCTCACATCTTGTCAACAAGTTGTGATCGCAAAAAGCTTGTAGCTTATTTGTCAACAAGTTGTAGCAATGCCGTTGTTTTGACATGTTGTGGCAAATTTGTTACTCGCAAGTTGTTGCCAAGTTGATGATCTGCAGCTTGGTAGCAAGTTGCTGGAACAACTTGCAACAAAACTAACATGGCTGTAGCAACTTGACAACAAGATGGGACAAGCCGTGCGAACAAATCTCGCGAGAAGCTTGTTCCAATAACCTCGGTTGAAGTCTGCTGTAGGATTGTAACAAGTTGTGCGTTTTTGCGTGTGTAATCTAACCAACCTTGATAGCAGCCGAGGAACTCCACCCTCAAAGAGCAATTTCCAGAACACGATTCAGGATGAATACGAATAAAACGCGTAAAAAGACGAGGATGTAAAGTGTTCTTCACCACGGTGTCTCTGTCTGAGTTTCCAACAAATTCCTTGGAGAAAAAAAGGTAACAAAACTTACAAAAAGGCAAAGCTAGGGTAAGGCTACGTTGCCAGGCAACGTAATTCATTGAAGCGTTTGCCATAAGGGACGGACACAGAAATATCATATAAGACGATTGGCACAAACCTTTATGACACCTCCTTGTTTGTATTCCGAAAAACTAATACCATCATCACTGTATGAGACTTTGTATTTTTCAACCCAATGACTATAATTATCTCTCCCTTGAGTCAGTACTGAAGCAACTGTGGCGTTGACTAAGAAATCGACCTAAAGAAAGAAGTCGAATGTTTAAGATAATAAATAATAACGTAATATATAAACTTTTATGTTAACAATATAATAAAAAACGAGGATAACTAATGTGCTATGCTATGCAATGCAACACAGCATTACAACGAGAATAGAACGTATTATTGTTTCATTTGTCGCGGTGAATTTAGACTATATATGCCGCCAAAATATGTATTTATATCAGATTCTTGCCCGATAACCTATGCTTGTAGATCAATTGATATGGAGCAGCATATTATCTATTGAATCTGATCACAAGTAGTATAAAGTTTTCTTTTGTGTAGAAAATTGTGTAGAAAATTCTGCGTCCAGTGAATTTCATAGGTGTCATGTTACAGTATACCTGGAACCACTGATTGCCGTCGTTCACCCCAGCAACCCAGCCGCCACTCTTACGAACGGCCACGTTGTTCAGTCTTGCAGCCAATGGAACAGCCTCGCTGTCGTACATTGTAGAAGCAGTGAGTTGGGTATCCTTGATCTGACCACCGGACATTCCTAAGGGCCTTATATCAGTACATTCTAAAGTGAACATTTCAAGATGACAATTTATCATTAAGAAATTCAAAACAAATGAAATTCCTCCGTTTTCAGATTATCTCAAATACCAAAAGGCAATAATGTACCAAAATTATTTTCCAAAAGGCAATAATGCACCCCACCTGTCTCGCAGAATCTGCCACTGTATCCATCAGTGCATGTGCAGTTGAAGAAGTTGTAGGTGGTGAAATAGTCATTGCAAGTCCCATTGTTTTTGCAGGGTGAAGGATCACAAACATCGATATCTAAATAAATTTTATTTTAAATTAAATTTTGAATGTAATTTTAAAAATACGCAACGTGCGCGCGTCTAATAATTAAAAATTTTCTATGATATTAAATGTGGTTAAATATTAAATTCTACGATAAATCGAAGCCGAAAAGTTTTTACAGTTTCCAGCCTTAAGCTTTTACACCCTTTCGTATATGAATTTTAACACCGTCATTTTTGGCGACACAGCTTCCTTAAAAGAGTAAAACCGGGGTGTCGTTTTACCTACGTATAGGACTTAAAATGATTGTTACGTCCTTATAAGGGAAAGGATCCTCAAAAAAATTGATGCATTTTGTAAACCTATGATATATGCTTTCAAAACTATCAAATGGTTTACTTGTTTTAAACATACTTTTCGCTTTTTTAAACATAATGTACAAAAATGAGGGGGCAGTTCTTGACAAAAATGTCTATTTGCTTGTTTGCCGTTTTAGAGAAAATCAGAGAAATTTAGATATATATTTTTCATAGAATTTGAGTTAATTTATTCATTGAACGTGGACCAACAATACCTTCATAACAGCCCAACAACTCTAGTCTCATTGCAGGACGCGTGCCATTCCAGGTCACGGGAAAAATGCGAATAGCATCTGCCACGAAAATTAGTGGAAACAAGTGTTCTACTGTGGTATTAGAGTCGACGTTACCAGAAAATATCTGAAAAACAAACGAGAGCGAGCATAAAATTTTTTTCATATATTCATTGGTTAACTTCACTAAAAGACAATTGAATTGCATCTACCCCGGAAAACGCATACGGAATATTGGTGATCTACAACCACAGCTTTGCAACGTACATATTCAAAACAAAGAAAGAAAGACTCTTTTTTCCTCATACAGATATTCGAGGCGTAAAGACTGGTTTGTGTACAGGACTGTACTGCTCTGTGCTGTACTAGGCCGGTATGAAAGTGGTCCAACCACCACAAACATCAGATATCTGGCCTGCTTGGATTACCCTTCTCTTCTTTTGGTAGCCACTGAAATATAGGGTTTCCTTTCATCGTAGCAAAAAAAGGCTGCATGCCAAAGTTTTCCTTTTTTATTAAATAAACAATAGTAGATTGTCTTATATTCTTTACAGAAGGTTGCAGGATACACAAATCTCAATTAACACATTTTAATTCCCTATACTCCATAAAATACTCAAATATCCATTCTTATCATTTTCGTTGTGCCTCTTTGGGAACAATGAGCTAGACAGATCAGTTCAAATGTGATGAGAATCGCCTATGGATTTATTTTAAAATGAAAGAGTTGCAATGATACGAACTTCGAATTGTTCAAATGAAGAGTTCAAATTAAAAAAAAATTCGACTAATCTGATGGAAGCTAAAATTGGCGACAATTAAGGAGCGAATTACGAATAAAAAATTCTCATAATAATAATAGTGCAACCACGTAATATCACCTTTTCCACGCCACCGTCCTGATAGGGGTTAAACGGTTCATCGCCAGTCTTCAGGGAAATTTTGAATCCAGTCGTAAAGTTATTCTCCGCAAATGCCCCTTGCATGGAAATACCGGCCAGCATTGTCAGGTCACGAAGGTCAACAGTCAAATACTTCGACGTGTCCGAACTATATGGCATCCAACTAGTACGGGAATGCAGTCTTCCTTTGTATGGCGCATGTTGAAATTTCCAAGATGTCGATGCACTAATTTGATAATCCTTAATATGACCAGCTTGCATGCCTAGAGCTTTAGGGTGCATACAACCTGGAATATAGAAGGAATTAAATAATAATAAATAGTCAGTCACTCAGAAAACTATAACTATACAACTATATTTAGTTTATAGCAAGCCAATTTATGTCGATAATCAAACAAAACAGAGCATTTCTTTTATTTGTCCCGAAGCTTCGGTTTAGGAGCCCCTTAATTTTGGCGTAAAATTTTTTTAACTGGAATTTTTAAAATTATTGTTATGTACTTTGTCCATAAATTTTGTTTTCTAAAACAGATATATTTTTATACAAAGTTTAAAATTCTTGAAAGCAAGAGAATCAAAGTATTTCGCATTACCCATGCAGGGGGACATGTCGCAGTGCTCGGAAGCTTTCGTCCAATTGGATAATGCTTTTCTATGCTTTCTAAGGAACGAAGCTATGCTATTGGTTGAAACAGAAATGTATTGTAAAGTTCAGCCAATGAAAATCATTCTTGCGAGGAGCTGCGACATTACCCAATGCAGGGAAAGAGTTGAACACTTAGCGTACATTCGATCGAGATTTTCGAAGATTTGAGCCATGCATGGACCTTATTTCGACTATTTTTTTTCGCGAACCACAAGATTAAATGCTTCATTAACTTTTTACAGAAAAGAAACGATAATAGCACTGTCACAAATGCTTTATAGTAAATTAATAGAATGAAGAAGCAAAATATGTGAGATTCATTTCATTTCTTATTCAAGAGCTCTTACCAAAGTTACATCCAACAAACTCCAGCCGAATTCCAGCGTAGGAACTCCACGTTTTAGGATGGATACGGATAAGGTAAGAAAAAATAGCACGAGTCAAAATATGCCGCACAATTGTGCTTGAATCCCAATTGCCTGAAAACACCTTAAACAAAGAAACAAAAATAGAGTCAAGGATATTGGCCTCATGGTTAAACTTTTCGAACATAGGCTCGAGGGGCGCAAGGAACAGTTCCAACTCTTCTCTCGTGCTAAACCTCGGGCAGCGGAGAGGGGGGGAAGGCATTTTGCTCTAGGCCTCCAACCTGAAGGGGCACCCTGACTTAAGAAAGAACCTAAAATTAAAGCACCCTAAAAAATGTTGGACTCGGTGTATTATTCGCACACTAGTCGAAAGTACGAATGACCGTCATTGTTATTTTAATTTCTAATTTCCAATTTAATTGTTTGTTAAACTTTTTCACATCGCTTTGAAGAGCCTTTATGCCTCGCAGACATTTAAAACCGGGCCCCAAAATTTCTCTCGGCGGCCCTGACTCTCATTGCCTTAAAAAATCGGCCTATTAACCTAAATGCACAAAAATAATAATATTTAATAATTTAATACCGCCATTTCTACTTTTAAATCATTATCGCAATGAATCTTCACACTGTATTTACATAAACATCAACTTAATGATTCTTTTCCGACTTTAGTCTCATATCTAAGAAAAGAATATGTTCTCCATAATTTTGTTATCGCGGTGCAGCCATAAAGAGAAAGCTCTTCTTGCATATATCTTTAGAGTACCAGTACCAATATTTGAAACGGTCAAAAGTCGTTTTTAGTTGATCTTAAAAGTCTGTTCGGTTCGGTTATGTTTTGATAACGAAATAGATAGAAGTTTGCTTACCTTTACTCTATTGTTTTCGAGGTAATCTTGAAAGCGTTTCCCATCACTGGAGAAGGAAACTGCGTACGTCAATACCCAATATGATTGAGACTCTCGCCCCTGCGACAAAATCTCCTGTATTTTAGTCGCCATCATAAAATTAACTTCCAACCATGGACTTAAATCTTCTTGCAAGTGCAATCCAACCAGCTGAAGTCAAATTTAACCGCGCGCCATAAGCAAAGTAGAGGCTTCCAGTAGCATAAGTCGATGAAGAATTAAATTGGGAATCTGAAATAACTTTGCTCGCTAATCCAAGATACTTCGGATTTGGGCAGCCTGCAAATCAGCAACGATTGATTGTTAATCACAGTATATTAATGAATAGGTTGATAGATAAAACAACGAACATCTTTTTGAGTCACTATATATGTCTAATACTAAATACATAACATGAAAATTCCCATTATACTTATTACTTAGAAAAATCGAATCCTTTGAAAAATACGAAGGACGTTTGTTTGTTTGTTCGGGTCAATATTTTAATTGCTCATAGGGATCGAACCTTGTGTCAACGCTAAGGTGTCTATATAGAAGTGGTCTGACTGAACATTGAAAAATAATATTGAGCCGAAAAGTAAATAAGTTTTTTTTGCTAGCATCGTAATAAAAAACAAACTGCAGAATTGAGATTACCTTCATAACATCCATGGAATTCTGCACGCAATGCACAAGCTCCGGACCATTGTTTTGGATGAAGACGAACATATTGAGCAAATATTGGTGGGTGGATATAGTTCATCACAGTCGTATTACTGTCGTAGTTTGCAGGAAAAACCTTTTGTATATAAAAGTGTAAAGAAATTATATTATATATATGTGAAGTTAAGCATGCGTTAATCTATACATAATTATAATATTATCATCTATACCGGCTTGTACATATATCCTTGTCTCTATTATAACTTGCTTTCAAACCGTTGTGTACACCGTAACGAAATTCCACCAAACGAAATTCCACCTTGTCATGATTATATATATACAATAATTTTTCATCTTTAAATTTTTCATCTGGCTTGAGAGCCAGACAAGTAGAATAGTTCAATCTGCGTGTTTCCCCGCCCTCAGGCAGAATACTGTATATAGGCTTCTTTAAAAATTGCTTAACTCTCACCCCCAGCCAATTATTATAAATAACATTCTACGATTCTACCTTAACGTTTCCATCTTCTTTGTACGTTTCATAGTTTATCCCATCAATACTATGCGTGACTTCGTAACTAGTAACCCATTCAGCGGCATCAAACCGACCCTGTGTTGTAATTCCCCTCAAGGTTACGTTCGATTTAAAATCCACTCTCAACCACGGATTGCTATCATCAGCGGAAGCAATCCACGCGCCATCTCTTTCGCCGTCTATCGGTTCCAATCTCAATCTAGCGTTTCTAGCCCGCGACGTTTCACCTTTTTCGGATGACGACGTTAACTGAGGGTTCACGACCAAGTTACTTTCCAGACCAAGTGGAATTGGATCGATACAGTCATATTCTAAAAAGATCATTCAAGTGTGTATTAGCGTTACATACATTATTATGTACATGTACACAACTTCATTTAAAATTACAAGAATAAAATATATAAATGTACCATTTTTGTGATGTGAAAAGGCATCGAGAAATTACTTATACATGCGTTCGGTGGAACCTGGATGTATGGTAAACCAAAGCCTCGACCAAAGCGATTAATATGCCTCAGGAAAGAACTAGCGGTAAAGGGTCAACAATAATGAACTGTTTTCCCGAGGTGGCAGTAAATAAGTGATTGCATGGTATTATATATCTTGTGCCAAAATAAAAAAAAGAACAGATTTGTAGACGATACCTTTATATTAGATTAATATATGCAACAATAATTTTCGAAAATTCTATACACGTTTTACCACCGGGGTCCGCCACTTTCCTGTGATTTTTAGGGCGGTGTAGCTGATAAAATACATCATTTATGTAACTCACCTAAATATGACCCGTTGAAGTCGACTCTGAGTCCCACGTATGTGTTCCATTCTGTTGGATGTATTCGGATGTACCTTGCAAAAATCACGTGCGTCAACCGTTGTTCGACTAACCGTTCATTGTGGATGTTTGCAATGAACACCTTGAGGGTAACAAAAATAAATTTGAAAATAGTTAAATGATCAAATAAAGTGTTTTTACACATGTAAATATGAAATCCAAATTCCGAGGTATGATGAGTGAAATACACAAGATGCCATGGAGAAATTTGGGAAATTATTTTAAAATATAGGTATAATAGCGTAATAATTAATGGGTAATTAACCATTTTCTACCTTTGTTCACTATATACAATTGGTAGCAAAAGCAAATCAATCGTTACCCCCAGCCTTACAAAATAGAACATTTAGAAGCTCTTCTGGAATTTATACTCTTTCAAGCAATACAAAAAATATCAGAATAATTAATACAAGTACATAATTATTTTATACTTAATAGTATATAAAGATAAACTTACTGTTCCTGCTGTCAGCTGTCAGCCTGTCACTTGCCAACTTAGCCACGTGTGTATATCTGCCAGAAACAACTGCTTAGAGGCACCGGAAGAAATCAAGCTAGCTGGGCAGGCGGGGGGTAGCATAACGAGTAAGGCACTTAATTGAAAATTATATGAACAAACAGCAACAATCTTAACTTGGAAAAGCTAGACTGCTAAGATACATTCAATGTCCATGAGCATATATAGGGCAGGCTTCCCAGGCATGCACCTTTGTTGTGTTAGTTACTCCGAAATTTAAGTGTTTAATTTGGAGCTAAAAAAATTTGTCCTGAGTTTCTGGATCAAATAACTGCAGGAAAGCACTTATATTTGTCTATTCAATGAGCAACATATACATTTGTTAAAACTTATAATACCATTAAGTACTGTGTTAAATTTAATTAGAAAGGTCTAACCCCTTTGTTGAGAAAACATTGATATTTTGTCAGAAAAAAACTAGTTTTATTCAGGGGTAAATTTGGCAACATGATGCCGCAAAATATGTTTGTGAGAATCTCAAGACAATTAGCTGTCCATTATGTATTGTAGATCATATTTGCGTTCCATGTTTGAGACAAGATCGCAGCTACATGATTTGAATAAGATAACTAGTGGAAATTTACAAATACCCTTCTGCAGAACGATGTCTGGACAACGTTCTTTTGGCTACCATGCTGTATCTATATGGAACAGTTTACCAGTTTGGTTAAGAAACAATAACTTTAGTTTGCAAAGATTCAAATGTGAACTAAAAAGATTGTTGTTAATGGAGTTTTTTGAGGACCAGTTATGACATTTTTAACAATAGTTTTAGATAGTAAAGTTCTATAGTATTATTAGATGACATTTATAATTAGATAACATTATATATAGTAATATTGCAAAACATTTTCATAGGTAAATATTTTTATTATGTATTGTTTTTGTAATTAAGCACTGAAAAACCCTTTTGGGAGAGCCTAAATGTTATAATAATAATGCTCATGAACATTGAATGTATCTTACCAGTCTAGCTTTTCCAAGTTAACATTGTCTAGTTTGTTGCTGTTTGTTCATATAATTTTCAATAATTGAATATTGACAGACTTGGTAAACTAAAGTGCTTTACCTGTCATGCAACCCCACGCCTGCCCTTGATTCCTTCCGGTGCCTCTAAGCAGTAATTTCTGGCAGATATACACACGCGGCTAGGCTGAAAACTGGAAAGTGACAGCAGGAACAGTAAGTTTATCCTTATATACTACTAAGTATACAATAATGTACTTGTATTAATTATTCTGAAATGAATTTTACTGTGGGAGAAAAATAAACTACAAAGTCTACTCTTATATACTAAATTTGCATATAAACTTAACGTATTTTTAAGGATATTTAAAATATACACTCCTCATGTCTGGTCGCCATATTGGATATTATGGCCGCGTACGAGTTAGAAGCCTAGTAACGAGGTCGTCCTCTGACATATGTCAAATAGCCTTCACCAAAAATATCAGAAGATTCATAGTAGAAAAAACAAAATGTCGAATCGTCGTGCCCAGCTTGATAAGGAAGGACTGTAAAACACTTCTTCTGGAAAATGTTCTTCTCAACAGGTGAATAAAATGGTGAACCTTTTTGTAATTGTGATATGGCTTTTCCCTTGCTCACTAGTTACAGTAAATTTTTGTATTCAATTGTATTATTGCGGGTATAAGCCGTTCTCTTATAAATGAAGCATCATATATATATATAGACCTTAGTACGACTGTTGTAAAGTAGTTCATAGTTCTATGCGATGTTTGCTTCAATTGTAATTTTCCCCCCCATGCAAAGCATTTCTTTGTCCTCCGATCGCCCCTCCCCTGCTCATTTCGACCTGGCGCCGTAACCGTGTGTAAAAATTTCTTTGGATGGTCATTCAAATGACAGACGTGAAAGACGTGAAACACGCACTGCACATTGGGAGGGAGTTCAATTCAAAATTGGATATCAGTTTGCTGTGAATGCCAATCTCGTTATCTCTAATAAAAATTATGCCACTGGAATTCCCATCATTCCATCTCAAGATCTCCTATATTAGTATCTGTCTGTAAAAACATCACTTTTCTAAAATTTGTTGAACAATTTTTACTACCTTCCAAAACAGAAGCAACCGCAATCTGCTGTATCTTCTCACCTTTGGTTTTCCAAATTCGATATAATTCTGAAAGTTTCTACCATCGTTGCTAAATGACACCAAATATTTTTTTGTCCAATATGTTGAGCCATCCAATCCCAGTGTAAATATGGAGGTGACTTTCGCAAATATTTCGAAATCAACTTGAAACCACGGATTTGCGTCATCATCAAGAGGGCGCCAACCTTGCCAAGCCGCGCCAGAATTTGGATTATTATTGAGCCGGCCCAAGCCTTCACGATATGTCGTACTGTACAGAGAGGACGCAGAAATCTGACCATCCAAGATAAGACCGCTTTCCATACCAAGAGCGATTGAATATTTGTCACCTGTAAAAAAATAATGATTAGGCCTAACTCCTAACTGATGTATTGTGTGAGTAGTTTTCAGCGACTGATATTCATAGAATACACCAAAGCTATTGTATATTTCACTCCAGCCAGGGAAGGGGAACCCGGAAGGTTAGGGGGCGTTTGGGGCTATAGAGCCTCCCCTTAGTGGGGACCACCAAAAAAGCTTAATTTTTATACTACATGGACTACATTCGTACTTTTGCTTTGCATGGTTAACAGTTATTAATTATTTTCATGGCCTTTCAAACAAAACAAAACAATGCATTTCTTTAAATTTAGCCTCGATTTAAATGTTCCAGAAATACGTTTGGCACTTTAAACAAGAAAAATTACGGCATTTTTCTGAGTTACTAACCTTCAAAATGGCCATAGAATTCACATCGCATACCACATCCATTTTCCCAGGTTTTTGGTTTTACTCGTACGTAAACGCCGACAAAGGGAAGTTCTAGATTATGCCTGACAGTGCTGTTTGTGTCAATGTTCGCAGAAAAGACCTGTGTGGAAGGTATAATATCAGTTTCACATACAGGTAACTTTAAAATCATTCTAATTGAGTAATGTTTTCTGTAGCCCTATCATAAGAAATTTTCATTACAAAATTTCGAAGGAAATTTAATTACCTTATTATTTAATCAATTACTTAATTATTTAATTAATTACTTAAAATTTTTAAACGTCGGGGGAACCATGGTCCCGTGGTGCTACCATGCATGGTTGAAAACATGCTTGTTTTCCCATGGGCTTCCTCCGAAATGGCTTTCTTTATTTCATATAAAGACTTTATTACTCAAACTCCAATACTGCACATATACACATTTAATACCGCACACTTTGCCATCAATTAATACTGCAGAAAGTGCGGAATACCACAGTTAACTGTGCGAATACTAACTGATTATTGAGCAATCGAGCGTGAGGTCTGTACTATGAAATGTGATCAAACCGAACTTGAAAAGCCATATAATAATACTTGCTGCAACAGGCCATGTGTTTTCTCGAAATTGACGTAAAGTAAAATACTGATTACACACGAAATTTTCATCCATTTTAAAAGATTCATTCGCATGACCGCATCAAGCTCAATACTTCAATCTACGATAATAACTTTTTAAGTATACCTTAACCGCGCCATTTATTTGATAATCCTGCAAAGTATTTTTCCGATTGCCATAGGAGATTTCATAACTGGTCACCCACGACCCGCTTTCATTTACACCTTGTGTAGCAATTCCAGCGACTGTAACGTTTGTTATGAAGTTAACTTGAAACCATGGGTCAGAATCGTCGTTGGCTGCTATCCAACCGCCGTAGCCTTCAATCTCTGATGTGCTGACATTAAATTTGTATTCGAGATTTAGTCGTCCTTGATGTGCGCCAGATAAGGCAAATTTTGAAGACGACGCGCTCAGTTGAAATTCCAAAATCAAACCGCTTTCCATGCCCAGGGGCCAAGATTCAAACCAATCTGGCTCTAAACAACAGACAATTAGGCGGTGATTTCCCATGGCAAACACACTAAAAAATTAAAATGTTTCGCGAGATATACTTACCAACGAGGCAGCCAAAGAACTCAGTTCTCATTGCCGCTTGGCTTTCCCAAGTTGTTGGATGCAGTCGGATGAAACGAGCATAAATTACGCGAGTGAGGCGCTGCTTCACGACAGTGTTCTGATCGTAGTTGGCAATAAATTCCTAGAAACGAAATAGTTGTTGAGTCAGTGAGCTAGTAAAAAGAGGTGATTCTGCGTCTTATATTCTGGGAAACAGAAACTAGTATATGTATATTCAAGGCTCCTATTCAAAACTACTAAATATAATGATGATAATTATATCAGATTTAATTCCAAGTTCCAACGAACAGAAATATACAGTTCGGAGAAAAGTAATGCAAATAATTTGTACCACGTGATAGCAAAATTAGTATCGGAATTTCATCAAGTTAATTTTTTCACATTATAGTGTTGCAGCGGGCGACATTCGAGACTGTGTGACACACGTGTATGTCTTGCCCGGCCAGCAGCCAACAATTTTATAATGAAGAGATATAGAGCACTTATTAACATCGGGTCAAGCTTTCCTAGCAATCGGAATATCTTCGTTAACCTTCGTATGCGTTCTTTAGTAACCGTGGATTTATTCTATTTTGAATTGAGCGATATAAAATATCTTATAATAATTTATATTAAAATATCTTATATATTAAAAAATAATAAATCCGATCTTTTAAAAAACGAAAAAATTCCGATCGTAAGTTACGAAGATATTCCGATTGGTAGGGTAACCCGATCTTACCCTTTGTTATTAAGTCAGCCGATGTTATTAAGTCACTGCATGTCTACCGCTAGGGTTTCTCAAAGGAAGCGAAAATATGTTTATCAGTTGCGAATTTTTCAGGTTTGGGATTTGGTGCAACTTACAAAATGTGAAGTAAGCAATTTCTTCTTTGTGTATAAACAAATCACGCTGCTCAATTTGTCATTGTATCTGTCTCAAATCTCAAACATTTATATACATTCGTGGTTCCCAATAGAGTGCTTTGGCATTCACATTCTAACAATGAAATTCTCATTAGTGATTATAATACTTTTCTTTTTTGAGACACCTTGTATAAACAATTTATTATTCGAAAAGCTCAATGATAAATGATGACGTCTAGAGCCCCTTCAACTCAACTTGAAATTAATACTCAGAGTGCCACACCCCAACACATACACCGGCCTAGCTTTTATTTTACCTTTACAATGCCCATTTCTTTGTACTCCACGAAATCGTCATTATTATTGCCGTACGACAGCGTAAACTTCTCCACAAAGGAAGCAGAATCTGGTCTTCCTTGTGTTTCGATGCCGGTTATTTTAGCATAGGCTAGAAAATCTACTTTGAGCCATGGTTTTAGGTCGCTGCTTAAGGCGATCCAACACCCCAAGAGTGGTGACGCTGGTTGTAGATTCAATCTTGCCTGGGCAGCAGGATTTCCCATGTCATTTAAGGACGAAGCGTCGATTTGGCTATCCAGAATAGTCTCATTTTCCATACCTAATCGTGTCACATTTGCACAACCTGTGAAATACGAAGGTATGCTATGAAAAAAAGAGCAGCTATGAACTTCCTCAACATATTCGATTATTCGTACTATCGGGTTTAAGACTGTTTTTTACTAGGCGGAATTTTGCGCGCGGATCGGAATCTTTCATTGTTGTATACACGCTTACAGTCGCGGCAATAAATGCGTTCCGAAAAATATCAAGCAACTCAATTGCTCAAATTTATCAGTTGGCTTACCGAGTTCATAAAATATTTTAAAATGTTTTGAATTGACCAATCATATGCGTCTATTTATTTACTATCCAATAGGATTAGAGATTGGTCAATTCCAGACGGGAAGGTAAGCGTTTTTCAAGGAGTTTCCTAAATTATTGGATGAACTCCGTAAGCCAACCGATAAATTTGAGCAAATGAATCGCTCGATGTTTCTCGAAACGCTTCTATACTGCCGCAACTGTAAAAGTTCGATGGTACAAAATTTTTCTTTAGATTTTCTTCTTGATTGTGAGCGATCAAGTGAATCCGTTACGGTCCACTTTTCGCAATTGAAAAGAAAATTGAGGGGAAAGTTATGTTCGGTAGAAAAATTCCGCCTAGTGGAAAACCACCTGATTTTCTTTTTAACTGCGAGAATTCGACTGTGGGGGATTCCCACTGCTCCGTCAATTTGATATTTAATTTCACATTGTACAGACATCACTCTTAGTAATTTTTTAGCATTTAGTGCTCTGCGGCGAAAAAGTATCCAAAAAGCCCTACCTTCATATCGACCATAAAACTCAACTCTCAAAGCACAAGATCCAACCCATGTTTTCGGAATGATTCGAAGAAAACGAGCAATGATGTATGTATACAAGTCTTGCCTCACTGTGCTGCTGTCGTTATAGTTTGCAGCGAAAAGCTTTCATAAAAATAGAAAAAAGATATTGATCAGTGATAGCTGCATGTGGTCGAAGCGTATACATGATCACATATATCAGAAAGATTTGGAAAGACTACTCAAGATAAAGGGGATTTTAGTATAATATAAAGTAAAACAAAATTTAACTAATGTCAAACCTTAACAAATGTTAAAAGCTGTGCAGACTTATTTATATGGAGATGCCTTTAGACGTTTAATTAACGGTCTGACCATCTAAATAGCATGGCAGTGCATGAAGATATATATTCTGCATGGACAATTCAGTGCCCAGTAGAAGGGTCATGCACCTGCGATACCTTAAAAGCAGATCTAAACTCAACTGACAAATCTCAAGAGCTTACATGGAGAAATGAGAGAATAAATTTTAAGGCCCCAGGCGGCTAAATTAAAACTTTTGTAGTCGGAAATTATAACAATAAACACAAAGTTTTGTTCTATAACATAGATATTATACAATATTAACCTTCAATTGTCTACCAACATTGTAATCTTGCAAAACGTCTTTCTTGTGACCATATGCCAGTGTGTATCTAGTCACCCAGCCCAAGCCACTGTCCAGTCCTTGTAATAGTAACGCGGTGACTGTCACATTAGTCCTAAAATCAACTTGAAACCAAGGATTAGTGTCATCGATTGCTGCCATCCAACCGCCATGACGGATATACGATGTATTCACTGTGGTTATATTATTGGTAATATTCATGGTCGCGTTGAAGGCCGTGATTTGCGGTGTTATTATGTTTGTCCTCATTGCTGTCGCATTTTCACTCAACCGTGCCATACTAGGTCCAGATATAACATCTTTAGACGACGACGCAGTCAATTGGGATTCGACGATCAAGCGGGATTCCATGCCTAGTGGAGCAGCTTCGAACCAGTCCGTATCTGTGAAAGATCGAAAGAGAACCATTACAATTCACACACACATATGAAATGCTCTGAACAAACTGATAAATTTGTTCTTTCAAAAAAATCACGAACATTGGTTATGCTTACCGACATACTCGCCAAACAATTCCATTCTTATTCCAGGATGGTATCCGGATGGCCAAGTCTTCGCCACAACGCGTAAGAACCGAGTGAATATCGCACGTGTCAGGCGTTGAGGGACAATTAATTTATTTTCGTAATTGGCTCGAAACACCTGTAAAATTCAAAGGAAACACTCGGCATATACCTTCGTTTTACGGCCATTGAAAAAACCGAGAATACTGCAGGTAAGTCGTTTGCATTAGCTTAATAATGTAACAGTAATATAGTACTGTTTATCATTTATAGACCTGGGGTGAAGCGGATTCGGCGAAATATTTCCTGAAATGATGATATTTCCCGAGGGCGTATACCGAAAAAATATTCTGAGCTTGTAGAATAGCCAAACATAGAGTACAAAGTTTCGTAAAAGTATTGACGTGTGGATTTCGCCATATTTGCGGCGAAAATTACACGACGTACTGGGAAGGACCGGGGTATTCAAAATATCATGCCTCGGGGAAACAGGGTACGAGCAATCCAGGGGCATAGTGTTCGCTCAAAAATTCCATGTTCGTGTAGAATAATTAAATGTACTAAATAATGGGAAATTTTATAAGTTTCCAAACCATATGCCTTTAACTATGATTTAGGTTAGTAAGGTGGACGTATAAATAATATTAGGCAGATTTACCATGAGGAGGTGAACGTCAAAGGCGACGTGAAGATGGCGAATAAATGGCATGGCATGTCCATACATAGGCGTATCACGAAACACGCCATTTATTCGCCATTCTCGCGTCCTCTTTGACGTTCGCGTTCTCGAGCTAAATCTGCCTATTAAATTCAGTAGTTAGTTAAACACATCTTAACCACAGAATAGACATTATACCAGAAGTCTTACTCTTTGCATTTTGCCATAGGCAGCCCAATGGCGAATGATTTTATTTTTTATTTTAAATAAAAATGCACACTTTGATGAAGTAGGCACATTATGTCATTTATTTACATGCTTATGTACATGTCTGTAATTTACATGTTAATATGCGTGTCTAACAATGTTCAGGCAATTATTGGTATTATATAGTATACTATATCCTAGGATATATAGGATATATTATTCTATATGATACCTACATTGCCTGAACATTGTCAGACACGCATATTATAGCATGTAAATTATAGACAAGTACATAATCATGTAAATAAATGACATAATGTGTCTATTTATTCGTTATAAATTTCGAACCTTTATTTTTCCAAATTCTTCAAACGCGCGAAAGCTAGATCCATCATTGCCATGTAAGAGAGTGAAGGACTGGATAAAATATTGGGCTGAATTTTCTTCTCCCTGAGTTCTTATCTCAGTAACCTTTGCCCACTTGAGAAAATCAACTTGGACCCATCTATCCGCTCCATTGTCTAAATGCGACCCTAGAAATAACGTTAAGAAACATTGTAAATCATCAATTTCTTTATACATCGTTAAAATCATTTGGAAAAGAAAATAATTTAGGTTTGCATGTCGATTCAATGATGTTCATCATCTGAGCTTCGGTTAAGCGTTACCCGCAAGAACGAAGAAAACAGTAGTGATGCAATGATCTTAACACACGAAATTCATTTTTCATTGCAGATGACAAGAAACTACGAATATATTTTATGTTGTTCAACATGAAACAATAAAAAATAATGTAAAAAGCGTTAAATGAATCGCAAAAAATTTGATTTGATTGCTGATTGTAGAAGAAAATCCTTCTAGATCAGAAGCAACCATTGTGATTTTAGCTAGATTCAAATTAAAATTAGGAGATCGAGTTTTTTGATCTCTCTAAAAGTTCAAAATTTTAGTATAATATATATCGTCCAAGGACGGTAACAAGGTGTGGACATTAAACCCCTTTTACCAAGAAATGTCTTGGCTTAGAACTAGACAGGAATATGGAAGTTTAATTAATGAATGTCGCGTATAAAGTGAAGAAACAGGTCAAAAGAAACCATGAGTTGGGAAGCATGCCATGTGTTGTGAAACGTTCGAAGTTGACGCATTGCAACGTGTCACGGCATAGGCAGCCCAGAAATCTGTTTATACTCAGTCTTCGACTGCATTGACTGCGCGCGGTCAGCTTCTGCTGTCTGTACTAAACTACTAATTACAGTACAGACAGTATACGTAAAAGCTGACCGCGCACGTAAACAATGCAGTCAAAGACTGAGAATAAACAGATTTCTGGGCTTCCTATGGTCACGGTGTGATCGTATTTGCCTATAAACCATAGTGAACTGCACTCAATAGGAAAACGGTACAACACCCATCTACAAACTTTCAAAGGTTCACTGAGACGCATTGACTTACCTCCTCCACGCACTCCACTAATGTATGTCAAGTTCAACCGCGCATTTTGTGGCCCATTAAGTTTTGCACTACTACCGGAAGACGAGAGCTGGCTGTCCAAGATAGCACCACTTTCCATTCCCAAAGGCTGGGGGTTAGAACATCCTTAAATAAAGTGAAAAAGATAAGTAGGTAGGTAGGTACAGTATAGGTGGGTAGGTGGGTAGGCGTGAGGGGGAGGGTAAGTGTGTGATAGGCAAGTAGGTAGGTAGGTAAGAAAGATTAAACTGGGACGCATGCTGTGATTCAACAATTGATTTAAATATCACTGAACAATTAAAGAGTACTCAAAATAAATAAAAATTTTAAAAGTAGCAAATTTCCAAAGATGTAATAATTAAAACAAATTTAAATCTATATAGGGCAAAAAATACCATAGAAACAACAACGCATTATATCTTACCTTCATAGCGGCCATAAAATTCAAGTCTTACAGTACAATTGGCAACCCAAGTCTGGGGCTTTATTCGGATGAAACGAGCGATGATGTTAGGGTCAACTATTTGTGTAATTGTTGTATTGCTGTCTGAGTTGGCAGAAAACACCTAAGAACAAAGAATATATGACATATTATAATGGCATTTTGTCAATAGAGTAATAATGTTAAACACTCTTTATATCAATAAAATTAATATTCAATCTTTGTCTAGCTAGTCCAATTCTAAGTTGACACTAACACATAAGCAAGACGTGAACAACAACAACGTCAACAACGTCAAGAGAACTGGAATATGTGAAATTTTTATCTGAACTTTTTATATAATTTTTTATCTGAACTTCTCAATATTTATGAATTTTGATTGGATTACTGAAAATGTAGAAAAATTTGCTGCACGGACCTAAACGATCGAGATTCCTATCTGCTGTAGTGATAACTATCTTAACGATACCGCATCCGAAGGTACCTGCCTATTTTGGTAGTGAATAATTGAATATGAACCATTAAACTATAGAAGAGTCGCTTTTCAAACCTTTGTACGTCCTTCGATACTGAAATCCTGCATACGATGTCGGTCATCTCCAAAAGAAAGTGTATATCCTGTAAGCCAGGAAGTCCCGTTTTCCAAACCTTGCGTAGCTATTGCAGTAAGTGTTACATTGATGATAAAATCTACTTGAAGCCATGGGTGTCTGTCATCGTCTGCTGCTATCCAACCACCATGTCTAACAACGTCTCCTGTGTTCTCATCACTCAATGCATTTAGATTCAATCTTGCATTAGCAACTGTCGATGTAACATATTTTGAGGACGAAGACACTATTTGAGAGTCCAGAATCAAACTATCTTCCATGCCAAGGCTTATCGGTTCGGACCAAACTGTATCTGAAGTAGATGAATGATTATTTTGTATTATGTTTGGCCAGCAAACATTTCATGTATATTTTAACTTTTAGGTAATACTGATGGTGTCAGGATCAGACTAATTATCATTCCACGAAATTCGATCTTCACTCGAAATATCGAAGACATTGTTGTCAAAGAGAGGGTCTTGAGGGTCAGAAAACCGAAATGAAAATTCAGAAGACGTCTTTCGTCGTAAATTCAGCTTAAAAAGTTAAAGATTGGTATTCCATAACTAAAGAAACTGTTTTCAGTTTCAATCAATTAAATTCTAAACTTTCCCAAGCAAATCGTATTGGATTGATTTCCACTTGGATCTGTTTTGATTTCATTTCGTTTTTTTCAGGCACCTCTTGCTATTTATGTGGCCATGGCCTCTATATCAGCTAGACGTGCATGCAGCGTAGCTTACAAAATTCCATTGCCTTCACAAGCAAATAAAGGACAATGACTTACTGACATACGAGCCGATAAATTCCATCCTTATCGACGGGTTTCCATTGCTTTTCGTCGGTACAACACGTAAGAAACGAGTCACTAAACTTCGCGCAAGGTGTTGTTCCACAATAGTGTTCTTGTCGTAGTTCGCTCTAAACTCCTAGAAAGGAAAAAATAAAAAAACAGAACAGAATATATAAGTAATAGTTGAAATGTTTAATTATTGGGGTATGCTTGAACAAGGCGAAGATGAGAACGGGGCTTATATCCCACTGCCTCTTTTGGCACGGACCTAGGTAAGAATTCGCAACTCAATAGAAATTATTGTGAAAATATTTTTATGCACCAAAAGTGCGATGGGAAATAATATTCGCAAAAGGTAAAAACCGAGACAAAGTCGAGGTTACTGATATGTATTTTAGTACAATTACAAAGATGATTATTTGAAAAAAAGACAAATTTGTTATAGAACGTAAACAAATATATTGATGCTTGAAAAATTTGCGACGATTTAATAAAAAGTTAATCACCGTTCTACAATAACGTATTTTTTATGCTCTTTTCGCTTCTTTCGTCGTGTTAAGCACAACTAGCCGCTATTTCAAAAAATTTACATGAATGATTAGGGCGTTCATATATATTGCGAGATCAATTTCCAATCATGACTGTTTTAATTATACTAAATAAAATTATTCCGATTTTGCGATCTTTTAATTATAAGCTGACGATTTTAAAACTTTAAAACATGCTCACACACAAAATGGCATCAAATGTGGTATAACAACTGTCTAAAATAGACAAAACACTTCTCGATGTTACGACGTGTAAGCTTTCGTTGAAACGTCGAAAAGAGTTTTGTCTATTCTAGTCAGTTGTTATACCACATTCGATGCTAAATTGTTCGAAGACGCTGCCATGCTGCTCCCTGGTTATACTGGAACGTATATATCACACACAGAATGCATTTCCAAACCTTGACAATTCCATTTTCCTTATAGACATTGAAATCGATCTCATTGTTGCTGTATTGCAAATTGAATCTTTCAACCCAGTAATCATCGTCAGCATGACCTTGTGTTTTTGAACCAGTTATTTTCGTCCATCGTAGGAAATCAACTTGGAACCATTTGTCATTGTCAGAGCTTGCAAGTGAGGCACCTATGGAATAGGAAAGTGTAAAATTAATTATCTATGAGTTATGGAATTATTTATGACCTATGGAATAGGAATGTGTAAAATTAATTATTTATGAGTGATGTTTGAGTGATGTATAATAATTGCAATATGATCATAAATTTCGTGTTATACTGCATGATAGCCTGGGAAGCATACTTCGACGAAAACTAATTTTTTTATCATCCAATATTCACGATTTCGTCCACGTAGTCTTAAATAGCCGATGCTATGCTTTAGCAGATCAATTTTAGCAGATACCTCGGATACCTAAAATTGGCTATTTTTGTATTTTCGTAAAATGTTCCAGTACGCAGTGTAATTTGTTAATTTACTGGCAAAATCAGAAATTTGCCTTAGCATTTTATAAAAGAAGATAATGTTTACATACCTCCATCGCGCACAGAAGTTACCAATACTAAATTCAGCCTTGCGTTATGAGCGCCATTTAGGAGGTCAAACTCAGTTGACGAAGAGAGTTGACCATCTGAAATGTAGCCATTTTCCAGTCCAAGAGGCTGGGGGTCGGTGCACTCTAAAACAAATATCAGCATTCATAGTAAATGAAACACATTGTCCTAAAAAGATAAACCAATTTAAAATTGATTCATTGGACCAATTTTTTGGCGTAGAATTGAATAACTATAAAAACAAGTTAAAGGACCAATTTTTTGGTTGGGTAAATGGTAACATAGTTGTTATGAAATTTTTGAAGTTACAAATCATTGTTTTGCATTTTTATTTTGTAAATATACTTGATTGTTTTGAAAACTGCTGCATATAGGGAATACATATGTCTTTGCTTGCATGCTCACCACTATACATATACATAGTGTATTAAAAAAAAAACAGTAGATGATTCGCAAATGCCTTAATTCTTTAGGCGTAAATCCACGGATCCTAAAGGAAACCATTTGGAATGCTATGCGTTGCTCGTTTAGGTCCTTGGACATGCACCACATTTAATATCTCAACACCACTTAGCTCTGCCCTTGCTAAATTTCTTGTAGATTCTTATAATCGCTTCATACTGTATGATCATTCTTATCGAGTTTCAAAGTTGATGTTTTTCGAATTTAAATACTGCACATATTCACATTCAAAACCATTATTAAAACAAGATATTTTTCCATTCCAAGAAAATTCGAACAAAATTGCAAAGAGATTGGATGGTAATAAAAGCAGTTTAGGTATGGATTTCGTATTTCGATATCACTGTCTGTAGCCTAATTGAAACCCATTATTGTCTAATTTTACCTCCGTGCACATAAATAGTTTTCTGCATGGTCTGTGATATTGCAGCTAGGGGATAAGGGTTCTTGATAAGGGATATTTTTTGACTCGTTAATAAAAATAGCAAGGAGTGGGAAGTTGCGAGGCACTCTCTCGTATGTATCTTTTTTGAAAAAGTCAACTTTAAAAACAGGTTGCTTACCTTCATATCGACCGTAGAATTCCACCCTCATAGCACAATACCCAACCCATGCTCTTGGCATGATTCGTAGGATTCGAGCGGTAATATGGGGATAGACATTGTTTTTTACCAATGAACTGTTCTTGTAACTCGCTGAGAAAACCTTAATTTTCGAAAATTTATATTAAGTTGAATAGCTTATGTACAAGAATATAGACAATATGAATATTTTTTAAAGAACGTGCTGTACCTGCTTGCATATAAGAATAAGTTAGGGCGTCTATTTATGGGGGCAGTAAAATGCACACACATCCATAGATAAATATTCCGAAAGTGTTTATGTATGCATGTTTTTGGCTACTATTGTTGTGCATTTTACTAAATAAAATAATGTCATGCTGAATTTAGTCGCACGGAACATTTTATTCACAATTTATAATTTTAGTTGCTTTTTTTTCATATCGTTTAATAACAAGATACGAAAAGCTGTATAATATATAAAGGTATGATTTAATGAGGAGTGATCTAAAATTGTTCATTTCAAACGTTTTTAGTCCATTGCAAATTAGTTACAAAAGCGTGTTTTAAAATACCTTCACTTGTCCATCTATGCTGTAGTTCTGCCAACTGTTCATTTTGTTGTATCTAAAAGCAACAGCATATTTGGTTATCCGAGAAGACATGGTGCCATTGTCCAAGGACTGAGTTATAATCGCACTGATTGTGACATTGACTTTGAAGTCCACTTCAAACCATGGCTCATTGTCGTATTCTGCCGCGACCCAACCGCCATATCGAACTATTTTTGTTGTGTTCTCGTCGATGTTCTCACGTAGTGTTTCCAAATTCAATCTGGCATTGGAAGCGACGGATATGGAGTACTGGGATGAAACGGCCAGCTGAGAATCTAGAATCATTTTGTTTTCCATTCCAAGCGCAATTGGATCGAACCAATCCGTGGCTACAAAATGCCGAAAAAGCTCTCAATAAATGCTGTTTCTAAAGTAATCAAATAGACATGCAGACTTTCTATGTTTATGATATTTCCGAGGGAAGATCACTAACAAGTCAAATTAAGCAGAGGGAAAAAATAGCAGTCAAAGGTTCCAACAATATCTTTGTTTCCAAATATCAAGTGGCGTGTATTTCATATATTCTCATATGAGCTCAAGAAAGTTGGCTATTTTAAGGTGACTAGTATTTTCTAAGAACCTAATTGATTTTCCTTGAGCATCTGCATGTAGTTTATACCCATTTCACATGAATAGACGGACCTTCAATTATGGAGAAGGAGCAAGACCTCATTCGTGAGGAGCACTCCACCCATAGCTAACTAATATAGGGCCCTATATACATACATCGCCACTTTTGGTCAGTTTAATAAACTCAAATAGACTCTGAAAAAACAAATGAATAAATAATTGGGATAGCTTTTTTCTGTGCGATAAGCTCATGTCGTTTAAGAAGATATTATCATTTTCAACTGGTCATGTCATTTGAAAAGGGAAGGGAATAATTTATATTTCTCACCTACATACAAGCCCATCACCTCCATTCGTAAAACAACTTTTCCGCTCCATAGATCAGGATTGATTCGCAAATAACGAGAAAGAATAACTCGAGAAAATCGTTGTTCCACAACCGTATCGACTTCGCTGTTGCCAACAAAAAGCTGAAAATTAAACATCATATCAACACAGGTATATCGCATATAATATATGCTTCTGTTCCCTATAAATATCTATTTTTTTTTTGTAAGGTGAATGTACATGCTTGCAAGATAATTTAACATTACGCCTCTGACCTTCACTTGGCCATATTCTTTGTAGTCGATAAACTTGTTTCCATCGCTGCTATAGCTCAGCGTGAAAGTTTGAACGAGTTCAAATTTGCCAGCGGCTCCTTGCGTTTTAATTCCAGTAATCTTTGTCCACCAGACGAGATCAACCTCGTACCACATGTCCGGATCGCTGTCTGAAAGCTCAGCACCTAAAGCAGCAAATCAAGGTAGCTATATCATTCACTATTTCACGCATATTGTGTGGCATATTCAGGTCACTTTCTTATAGAGAATAAACTTGATTGCGAACAATGGGAGGAGGCTAGGAGCTATAAGCATTTAATAAGAAAACAAGGAGTAAATACTGTTCAGGCTTGGTCGAATTAGCTCGGAGTCTGTGATTAATAAAAGTCGAAGTTATTAATAAAAAATAAATAAAAATAGCTCTCACTTGAAGTGATCTGAAATGGCGGGAAAGGACTGGGACTAGTTGTCAAATAAAAATCCATTTCTTGATTTAAACAATTAGCCTTTCTCACGATGACGTTTTGGGGTACTTTCAATTTTTTTAAACGGCTTTTAAAAGTTATAACAACATGAGAAGCAATTTTTTTAGAATCAACAGACCATTGGAGGAATAATTCCAGCCTAAAATTAAAGACTATGGCCGTTATGATGTCTCACGCTTGCGGTTTTGAGAAAAAGTACCCCAAAAATGGCGGCATATTCGTCATCGTGAGAAAGGCTAATTGGTATCTCTTGAAACATAATTAGTTTTTAATTTTTTGTTAGAATTATATTCAGCCAAACTTTCTACTACACTTAGTTTCATGAAGAATAACAAAAGATATAATCGATTAAATACTGCAGAATGGATTTTTATCCCTTCTGAGCGCTGATTGGTCAAAATATGAGCGCCGTTTCCCCCACTGTTACGTTTCGACGCTAGTTGTGATGTCCAACATTTAATACTAACCTCCGGCAGGCATATTCAACCGAGCACGTTCAGGCCCACTAGTGATAGTGGGAATAGATGAGGAATCGAGTTGACTGTCGGAGATATTTCCATTTTCAACGCCCAAAGGCTGCGGGTTTATACATTCTACATAAGAAAATGATATCGACATTACTCGATTGCATGCAGGCAGGTCTAACTTAAATCTCGATACATAAAACTAAATTTCGGTATGATTTTAACGGCATTTGATTTTGCACGGCTCTTTCAAAATTTGCCAGTCATCTCCAGAATAGTCTTATTAAATTAATTGAAAAATACTAGCTACCCTCAGTGAAAATTAAATTTTAACACCAATGATTCAAAGTGGGCTTTTTTCCCTTGGAAACTTACTCTTAAAAAAGTATACCAATTAAGATATTATTCATATAGGAATAAAATCGTATTATTTTAAAAGGAAAATTACACTAAAAAATCATTCTAAGGAAAACGCATAATTTTACTAAAAATCAGTTAGCCCTTTCAACTCGCAGTAAGGTTGATTTTAGTTCGACAGCTGTTATATTTTTTGGTTAAATAAAATAAACGCCATGTTTGCTTCATGGCCAGTATGCGTTAATGGAAGAGAAAGTTTTTAGAACGCAGTGGATGTTTCTTTATTTTACAAAAGCGTTTTTAGTTTTGTAGGTACAAGATTGGTTTTACAGAATGCCTATTGAAAAAAACGTTTCATAGTGCGCTCTAGCACAAGTTCATACTCATGCAAGCTTTAGGTGATAAACCAAAATGATATAATAATATCGCGAAAACAGATTTTCAGTCCATTGCCGGAAACATTAAGGAATTTAATCAATTTCTTACCTTCGTAATAGCCATAAAATTCAATCCTCAATGCACAGTTTCCTGCACAAGCCTTCGCATTAAGTCGAATGAATCGCGTGAATATTGCAGGATCTAATCTTTGCCTAACTGTAGATCTGTTGTTATTTTCCACAAAAAAACTCTTTGGGAAAGAGAAAATCGAAATGTAGTCAGTGAATAAAACGTTTTTTTTACACCAGGCAGTTTACTCTAATCCTGGTACGTTTAATCGTACTGTGAAGATGGCGAGGGGGATTGTCCATCCAGGGGCGAACGTTGATCTGGCGGTGAAGGCATTCGCCCATACCTCATTGTATTGAAGTAAACATTCAGGAAATAAACAGGTGTTAAGGGTTCTTTACCATTTACATGGAAAACCTATCCGGTTTCAGATTGTGCAAGTGCATGGTAAGAAAATTTCCCATTCGGTTTATGCGCTTTTCATTTGGATTAGAAGACATTGAGTATTTAATAATGAAACTGGAGGAGTCAAATGAGTGGTGGAAAAAATGAAAAAAATGTAAATGGAACAATATATTGCGCTTAAACATTTGAAATCAGTAAGAGAGAACAACTGGATTGGTCCGACGAAATATGCTTGTTCCATTTACTTTCCATAATATTATGGAATCACCGGAATTTCTATGTAAAGAGCATAAACAACCATGAAATGCACGCGGAAATTTTCTTCGAATATTTTTTCTTCGAAATTCTATATGTCTGTATAAATACATGTACTTTTCACTGTTAAAATCCTACGTTTGGGTAAAGTCCCTTTCGGTTACGAAACATGTCATTTCTAAAATATGCTTTAATCGTTCAGTGGGTGTTAAGCGTCATCAAAAATTACCTGTGACGAATCCTTATGGACATAATTTTGTAAACTTCCCCGGGTAATTCCATAATCCAGCGAATACTGTCTGACATATGAGCTCCCATTTTCTAGCAACTGAATATCTATTTCTTTGATTGTCACATTGCTCACAAAGTCAACCAGAAGCCATGGTGCAGAGTCGGCCTCCGCTGGTATCCAACCACCTACGACAATACTATTGTTCGTCAAGTTCAGCCTGGCATTGGTTGGTCCCGATGTTAACAAGTCGTTCGACGACGATGCAAAAATTTGGGAGTCCAAAATTAAATGATCTTCCATGCCAAGAGCAACCACCTGGGTTTCTTCAGGTGTGTCTGAATAAACGCAATTGTTTCACTTTTAAAGAAGAGCTTAATAATTAATTAATAATTAATTAGTTAATTAGAGCTTAATTATTTATTTTATTGGGATAAAAACAATACCGCCCGGTTCAAAATAGAGAAAGTAACAATAACACAAAGCTAAATTTTCAAAAGGTAGAAAAAGTAGTAGAAAACGGTTTGGATATATAAATCAGTAAGTATATCAATTTTGCGGTATTCGTTGTCTCGGACGAAGTTGTCTAGGAAATAATTTCTATTTTAAAATTCAAAAGGCGCTTTTGCATATAACATTAAAAAAATCAACTTACCTACAAAACGTCCTACGAATTCCAGTGCTAGGCCCGGTTTTGTGACAAAGAAATCCGCAACTATCCGTATAAAGCGAGCAAATATAACATGCATCGGCTTTTGGACAACGATAGAAGTGTGGTCAGTGTTGGCGGAGAAAGTCTTGATCATTAAAAGAAGAATAAGGTATAATTACGCCATGTAGCCTAATGTATTTTGCAAATTAAATGAGAGCAAAGCGCATTGCTAATAAGAACGGGTCACCTTTATAAATAAAATCATCTAAAAATTTGATTTGTGTCGGCTTCATTGGAGGGGAAGAGGATTTTAAAGTTTTAATCGTCATCTTCCATATATACATTTAGCACAGCATTATTAGTTTCTTTTGAAATTGATTGTTTTTACGGTATGCTAAGACGAATATATCAAATCCTATATATATGAACATAAGCCTATCCCGGCCACTTAACCAGGAAACCTGTGAAAATGAATTAGCTATTATAGCCGCTCTGGTGGGAAAGTCTATGCACAGAACTCCAGAAGCCATTGTATATAGAGGGTATACCCAAAATTTTGAAAATGTTCAAATATTGACATCATATGCATTTGTTACACTTAAATATAAAAAATGCATGTGATAAGATTGCATGGTATTGTACATATTCCTCTTGAACTGTAATCGGTGATGCGTTGAAACATGAAGAACTGAGAATTAAAAACTTTTTCTCTTCAACCCTCCCCCGAGGATGGAACATACTGTATGGAAAAAAAATATCGCCCGTTGAAATGCGCTATGTGATTAACTGATGCCAACTTGATGGCAATGGATGTACAGATTACTTGCCCAAAATATGAAAATACATGTTGTAAAAATTATTTGAAGTTTGAATGCGCACCTTGCGTGAGCCAAATTCTTGATATTCGACGAACTTCACTCCATCGTTACTCATTGCGACTGTAAAATTTCTAGTCCATGAATTGCCAGTTTTTTGAGCACCCTGAGTCATTATCTGCGTGATGCTTGCTCTTCTTCCAAAATCGATTTCCAAATAATCACCACTTGCTACGCCAAGCCACCCGTGTGTATTATTTATTCTCGCAGCATGCGCGCCATGATCTACTGCAGTCGCTACAGACGAGCGTATCTGACTATCAGGAATCAAACTTCGATTGTACATTCCAAGATTACCTGGATCACTGTATTCTTTGAAAAAGAAGAAGATAAAATAATTACAGCGAACAATTATTTGACTGAATGGAATCTTTTCAGCTTCCACAAATAATTCATTCCATTATGTAAACATTGGTGTTATATTTATAGAGTTTTATAGCCACTATATATAAGGCAATACGATAATTTTATATCGTGAGCGTCGTAAAAATACGGTATTTTTACCATATCGTTATAAATATATCATATTTGTTTGTTTATATAATATTAATAAACAAAATATTACATGGAATATTGCCAAAATTCTCTTCAACACTCGAAAAGAATACTACGCTCAGCTATGTATAACATTCTCTATTGCGTGGTTTAAACGCTCTGTCAAGAATAAACACATTTTATTTTTGCAATCAAATGGAATTAAGCGGTGAAAAATTCTAATTAAAATATATGAACACATTTTAGCATTTAATTACTACCTAATAAATTCATAACTGAAGTGAATACTAGATGTGAGGAGGACTATTGGAATGTATATTATAGGAAGAAATATAATTTTATTTTATATTTCTTTTTAGATTTAGCACTTAAACGCTGGTATATTATATGATTCTGTTCACGAAATTGTCGGCGTTATGACACTTACAGAGCGGTTTCCTACGCGATTCTTGCTGTGGAGAGATTTATCGGCGAGTATATAATATATCTTTTTTCAATAACATGTATTCATACGGTTAGCCTTACCTTCGTACCAACCGAAAAATTCAACTCTTAGAGCGCACATCCCAACACATGTTTTAGGTTTAATTCGGATCACGTGGGCGAATATATACGGATCTAAGTCTTGCTTCACTGTGCCGTTCGTTGCATTGAAGACCTGTTTAATTAAGAAATCAGATGGTGGAATTATTTCAAATAACAGAAATATAATGTTTGGAAAGAATAAAATAAATATCTTCCTTAATCGTATATGCAGGTTCAGCATTTTTAAGGAAATGTGAATAATGATAGTGTTGCGTTTGGAACATCCGAACGCTCAAAATAGCGGTAAAAAACTTCATGTGACTTCATCTCAAAATTCTATTCTATGAAGCTCAAAATCTAGTCAGAGAAACCTCGTCAATATTATATAAAATTGTTAGTCTTATAAAGAAATTGGGAAACTCCACACCGAAATTCACAATAACAGCTGTAAATTTGAAAATAGGAAAATTAAAGCTGTACTTAAATTCCGTCTTTTTAAAATACATTTAATAATATAATGTTAAAAATAAAAATTTTGGCCATATTGGCCATTTGGTCCGTTTTAATCAAAGCTTTTCTCAGTGCCGCCATCTGGTTTTCGATAATCTAGCGCATGCGCAGATAATCAGTCCTATGTTATGTGTTCAAAGCCACATTTCGAACGCATAAATAAACATTGTATGTTTAGAAGCCAATAAATTAAAAACGGCCAGAAAGTTCAAGAGTTTGCATCCTACAGGAACCTAAGCTAAAGGTGACCGTTAACAAATTTATCAACAAAAACATTTTGTTATTAAATAATTAACGATAGCTACCGCACATTTATTTGCTACATGTATTTTTTTTTGTTCAACGAATGCATTTTAGTAAATATTTTAGACAGGATTGCGATATCATTTTTCCTCACCGTTGCTGCGCCATTATTCATCTCTGAGTATTCTTGCGCTCCAAGTTCACTGTTATTAAAAGCAACGGTGTATTCTTTTACGTAATTCATTCCTACATCAAGACCTTGAGTCAGTATTGCAGTAACAGTAACGTTGCTTATGAAGTTGATTTCAAGCCATAAATCGTCATCGCCTTCTGCTGCAATCCAACCGCCGTATCTTCCATCAAGAGCTGTTTTTAAATTAGATCTGGCACTGGCGGCGCCAGAGAATGGGTGGTACCTCTCAGATGACGCACTCAATTGGGAATCCAAAATTAAACCGTTTTCCATGCCAAGTGGAATGGTTTGACGCAAAATTGTATCTAGAAATACATAAAAATATAGCCTATAGTTTGATATACTGTATTTCATACTTATAGTAATACAGGGATAAGTGGAAATTGAGAAGTAACTTAGGGTCATTTACACTTGCGATTTTGCCGCGATTTTATGCGCGATTTTCTTCTTTTGATAGATGTGAACGAGTTAATTAGTTACTGATGTTCAAATAACAGCTCTTACACATCAAAGCATTCGTAACTAATTACACGTTCACATCTATCAAATGAGGAAAATCGCAGCAAAAATCGCAAGTGTAAACAGGCCTTTAGGACTATAAATCAGGGACAGTTGCAAAAATTAAACTTATTAGATCTACGGCAGACGTTAAACACACGTCTTTGCGACTGTGTGTGGAGAGATATGAAGAGAATGTTGCTATAGATGTATATTTGGAAATTGACGTATAAGTGCTCGTGCATGGAAAAGCCAATAATGAACTGACTGGTAATCTGTAGGCTTAGCTTTTTTGACCCCAGAACTGAGTTGTTAATTAATTATTTTATTAATAGTAGCTAAATTTCTGTCTCTAAACTTTTGGATCACACGGATTAAAAAGAAAACTGAATTCCATATTGATTAAAAAATCTATTGGTACCCTTTCTATGATCAAAACTAAGCTTCCATCCAACTCATGAGGCGCTTTCTTTAATTCCTACGTTAAAAACGGCCAGATCCGGATTCTGTTGTATTTCAGTATACACACAGTTTACTGGTATTCCCTGTGTTTAAAATTTATCCAAGTATATATATCGTTATTTATATCTGCCTATATACAATCGCGTTATGGCTACACAACCAGAAAATGCAACTCTAGGGATTGCACGTAATATTTTTTACGTTTCACTCCCTTAATTTTTCTATTCTAGCGACCATGAATTTGTGTTGTTTCTTCTTCAATCTTATTGAAAACGATGCAGTAAGAAGCAAAGCAATGTTTATGAGAAACTTACCGACATAACAACCTATTGCTTCCATTCTCATTCCCACCGACCCACTTATTGGATGGATTCGTAAAAAACGACTGAATATGACGTTAACAAGGCGATGTTCGACCATCACGTCCACGTGATCCTGACCGGTGAAAATCTAAAAAAAAAAGCAAAATTACAACTTTTTTAAGATTTGCTAGCTAAATTATGAAAATCTGAATATCGACTTTGAAACAAAACATAAACATTAAATAAAACATAATAAAGAAGATATAAGCAAGCAAACGCAAAGATATTCACACAGCAAAGATTAAACATTCATTAAAGTATCGAACGACATGAAACAAATACGAGTAAATTCTCTTGATTTTAAACAAAAGTTTAATAAGAAAACCCTAGAAAAATCAAGCTTCTTAAACTGTTCATTTTTATTTTTAGGAACATTTACGACACAAAATTTGCATAGCTGGGCTGGCTACGTCGCTGTGAACGACGCGACCGTAACACCTAGTAGGCGTCTTGTTAATGTTAATTCACACGTAATATTACAATATCTTAAAATAAGCTCTTACAATAAGCTGTGTCTTGTAAAATGAATAATATCATGCACGGTAATGACACATAGAAACCAGGGGCCGGTTGTTCAAAAGCCGGCTAGCTTAGCATATTATATGGAGGGCTCGCTCCAGTTCAAAGTGTGAAGCCAAACATGGCGGATCATGAAGGCTGCTTAGGTACCGAACCAGACCTCCACGAAGTGTAAAATGCGCGAAGCGCGCGTGGAAATTAAAAAACACGAATTATAAAACTATGACAAAAAATAAAAAAGCTAACATTTCGGACGTTACAGAGTTTTTAAAATAGAAAGTTTTTAAAAATGAATACATACACGCATTTTGTTACAACATTACCTGGCAATGTTATTCTTTCTAGAGAGGTAACTTATGCCGTATATTTATGTTGTGTTTACAAAACTGACCGAGTTCCACTCCTACGTTGTCGCCATATTGAATTTTAACCGCTTGTGCTTGAGGTCTGGTTCGGTACCGAAGCGCTAGCAGCCTTCATGATCCGCCATGTTTGGCTTCACTTTTAGATTACGCAATGTACTAGAGCGAGCCTTCCATATATATAGAGTTCACTGGCTTAACCCATAGAGGATTAACTTAAATTTTCACATCAATTTTCTTAATCCATTGTTTATGAAGTTGAACATGTTTTTTTCATAAATATTTTGTCGATCAATAGAAGTCTTATTTTGTAAAGTCTTGAAACAAACAGCGGTGCAGAAGCATATAAACCAAAGCAGCGGAGTTAACCCAGGGTTAGCGCTGACATAGCAGTTTGAACAACCGGCGCCGGTATGTTAATTTTAACTTTAAAGCTAAAGGGCACCGACTGTGATTTTTGAAGTTTTGGGCCTCCCCCCCTCCCCCTCCCTCCGATTACTACGCCCCAGATATTAATTAGATTCGAGATATTAATTAGTGTAATTGTGGCTTTAGTTACCTTTGCAGGTTTCTGAATATCCCAATATTCAACAAAATCTATTCCATTACTACTGTAGGAGAGCTTGAATGTCTGAATAAAAGAAGATGATACTTCTCCTTCCATCTTTATCGCAGTCACTTTAGCACGTTTTACAAAATCCACCTGATACCAGTCGTCAAAACTTGATATTGATCCTTCACCCCTCCAACCAACTTTTCCGCCGAGTCTACCGTAAATTGCAGGCGCGCCACTTGCTTCGCTTGCGGCAGTTAACTGGCGATCGGATATCTCCCCACTTGCCATGCCGAGTGCTTTTGGGTTCCCGCATCCTGGAAATAAAGTTGATTGGCTATATAAAGACCTATCCTGAATTTATGATGCAGCATATGTAACGAATGTACAGAAAATTGCATGGGATGATAACATAAAGGAAAAACTTAAAAGATTATTTTAAGCGGGAACGTTTTGAAGCGTTTAAAATTTTTAACACGTATGACAGCCAATGATGACAGCTGACTTTTTTCTGGTTGTTTTTTTTATCTGCATTTAATTAAAATTCTTATATTAAAATTAGATTTCTTACAGGTATATTATCACTCAGGGGCCGATTGTATAAAAGACTAGTTAACTTTTAACTGTAGTTAGGGACACAATTGGCCAATCAGAGTCGTGTATTGCTGAGTTGACTAGGATTTAACTATGCGAAGTGTAGTTCTTCCTGATTCTGCTTAGCAATATTCACAATTTCACAGTAAAACAAACAGATTTGATCCTTTCATAAAAACATGTCCACATGTGACTATACTATCCTGGCGCATATTCACACGTGCGTGCCTCATATGACTAAAATGTCTATCAATATATTACGCAGTCCTTATTGGCTGATAATTATAAATGTTTAATATATATTAATGTTAATGAATTAGTGTTCACTGCTCGTTCATCGAAACACATATTTTGTGGTGATATACAAACATTAAACAATATAACCATGCTTTGGTTATGATGTCAAATATTTTGATGTGGATAACCACGCAGTTTAAATGGTCTAATTCTGATCCTATGCATATATGTAAAGTTTCAGGCATGTTTGGTGCTCATATACAAACATCTATATAAAGTTGCAAATTGCATACATAAAATATGGCCCGAAAACGGTATACTCGACCACGGTCGAATATACGGAAAAATGGCACATTCGACCATGATCGAAAATACCCGAAAATGGTACACTCGACCATTATCGAGTATACAGGAAAACGGCTACTCGAACATGGGCGAATATACCGGAAAACGGCATACACGACCATGGTCGAATATACCGGAAAACGGTATATATACTCGACCATGGGCGAATATACGGAAAAACGCTGCTTTAATGGTCAAATGCTGGTCTTTTGTAAAGTTTCAAGTATGTTTGGTGCTCATATACAAACATCAATATAAAGTTGTAACTTGCAAGCATCGAATATGGCTGGGAAACGGTATACTTGACCATGGTCGAATATGGCCGGAAAACGATGTACCCGACGATGATCGAATATATACGAAAAACCGGGTACGTTCGAGCATGGTCGAATATACCGGGAAATGGTATGAATGTTATGAATGGCGGATTTATTACGACAGATATCGTTGGAAATTAGAATACTAATTTCTTTGAATTGGTTATTAAAATATACTTTGAGGAAGTAAAAGTTACGATAGTATTCAAATGTTACGATATTATCCGTATAACTGGATAATTTTGAAAGAGAGACATGCCAACAAAAACTTCTTACCTTCGTATCGACCATAAAATTCCACTCTAATCGCGCATAAACCATTCCATTCCTTTGGTTGAATGCGAATAAAGCGCCCGAAGATATGGGGGAAAATAAATTGAATGCCCGCAATGAATACCTAAATGGCACAACGTGACAACTTAAGCCGTTATGAAGGCCATGTTACACTTAGCTACGGGGGGGAGAGGGCTAACAGTAACAATCATATATTCATAAAATTCGTATTTCACTGGGTAAATTAACTTCATGCAATGGACCTTTTGCATAATAGACCAACTTTTGATTTAGGCAATTAACAAAAAGAAAATTTCCGAAAAGTGCATACTAAGTTTAGTAAAATTGCCAAGTTTGGCTGCAGAATATTGTAAAGTACGGAAAATATAGCCATTGACATTTTGTAGCCAAACCTGGTATTTATACTAATTTCGGTATGCTTATTTTAGCTGTGGTGATTTATTTCCTTCTTGTTGCCTAGATTGTAAGTTGGTCCATCATGCAAAAGGTCCATTTGACGCACGATGTTTTTCAGGTGTGAAAAAATCCCATACAAGGCTTTCGATTGGGCGTACGATATTCCTTACACGTGAAATTATCGTATGTCATTTTGATGGTAATTTGTTTACATTTTGTTCTCAAGATCGCGTCGAAATATAGCAGTGAGATTCAAAACCAAATGCTCAAAGTCAAGACATTATCACATTCAGCACGTTTTAAAATCCTTCGGAAAGAATATCTAACTTCTATTGGCGAACAAAATTACAAAGAGACTGAACGGTAATAAATAAAATGACGCATAAAATTTAGATTTGGTTGCTCGCTGTGTTTTTAGCTCGCCTGCACTTTAGTGCAAGAGAGCTATTGCTATAGTCTTGGCGTCCGCGTCCGTCCCCGTCCCCGTCCCCGTCCCCGTCCCCGTCCCCGTCCCGTCCCGTCCCCGTCCCCGTCCCCGTCCCGTCCCCGTCCCGTCCCCGTCCGCGTCCCCGTCCCCGTCCCCGTCACACTACATGATAAGTAGAATGTTAAGATGCCACTTTTATTTTCCCATTATTTTCAACTTATCTACTTAAGGAGTCTATTTGTTGCAAAAGAACCATTTACCAGGGGGTAGTGAAAATTATACAACAAAATATAATGATAAGGTCAATGTTAAAATGCTATATTTTTTCTATACTTTGGCTTTACATCAGAGGAATCATTATCAATATAAGTCATCAATATGCATTGTGACTATTTAGTGCCATTTGGTACACATTTATACAATAATAAAGAGAGTTTGTTGGTTTGAAACCCTAACTTTGTTATTGTTATCGTATGTCGTTAATTTCCGTTTTGTTACTTTCTGCGACTACACGCGCAGCTGCACACAGTTTAATGTTTCATTGTATATCACTGTCAACTAGAGTACGGTCACTCTACTCTACAATTGGTTATTTACGTTTATGTTCGAACTCTATCGACGGTATTCAGCAGCAGTTTGGTGTGTGCGCCAACTAAAGTAAGACTCTATCTTTGTGTTATTATAGTTTGTAAACATATGTAGCTACGTTAGTTGATTTATTCGTATTTAGTGCATGCCTGTTATAGTATTTAATTTGCCTAGATTGCATGACTTAGTGCGGTTTAATTCTTGTATTTTTAGTTCGAACGTTACCCACTATATTTCTATTCCGCGATCACTCTATTCAATATTCCGTTACCGGATTGATCAGTTACCATATACCTTCAACCGCACAGTATTATAAACTTTATCAGATACATTTTATAACCATTATCCGCGCACGTGTATCCTATCATCGTGGTTAGCGAATTTAGTGGAGTTCAATTTGTGGCGTTAACGGCACACCAAAGCAGCGTAGCTCTCAGAAGAATTTGGGAGTTACAGAGTTTTGCTCAAAATTATCAAATGATAAGGTGAATGTTAAGCTAATTAGCATAATGATAAGGTCAATGTTAAGATGTTATATTTTTTAAATATTATGGCTTTGCATCAGAAGATTCATCATAAATATAGCTCATCGATATGTGTTGTGACTATATGATGACAATTAGCACATATTTACACAAAATAATGGGAATTTTGTTCAAATTATCAAATGATAAGGTGAATGTTAAGCTAATTAGCATAATGATAAGGTCAATGTTAAGATGCTATATTTTTTAAATATTATGGCTTTACATCAGAGGAATCATCATAAATATAAGTCATCGATATGCATTGTGACTATTCAGTGCCATTTGGTACACATTTATACAATAATAAAGAGAGCTTTGCTCAAAATTATCAAATGATAATGCAAATGTTAAGCTTATTAGCATCATGATAAGTTCAATGTTAGAGTTATCCAGAGCTATCACGCTTATTACGATTTTCAGGGCTATTGTGTAGCCCTGTTTTTTTTTAGTTCAAAGTTGTAGCTGAATCATATTTAACGAAAGTATTTGTACAACCCTAAGCCAAATGAGAAACTTTCAAATATTTTCACCTGTATGCTACATTTGTTTGCATTGTACATGTACAATTATAAATTATGAGATTGTGTTGTGACATGCCGTATCAAAATTCAATCGCTTATTAAATATTGAAATCATTCAGGGAGTGAATATATATAAAACATAGTCCAACGTTAAAGTTTAAAGAATATTGTCAGATAATTCGCAATTACAAGCTTTAGCACATAAGTATTTATAAGTAGAAAGCCGATAGGCTCGGAATGCAAAGGCAAATGGCAACGCATGTGACATATATTTGCATATTATTTATGTAGATACACATGCAAATATATTTTTAAAGCCAGTTAAATTGTTGACAGGACCCTTTGAACTACCTATAAGATTTATGTACATACTTTTTCGTTGTTTGATGCATAATCCTTTTTTGTGTAGATATAAAAATCCAATCTTGTTTATTTCATAAAGCTAGGCGCACACACGAAGATTTTTAATAGTCTGCCGATTCCTGTCTAGATTGTCTAGATGGATGTTTTCATCAAAATGTGGCGACTGGCGATCTATACACGCGCGAGGCGCGAGCGCCGCGAGAAGGAAAACATGTCTGGGCAAGGGCTGCCTATATGTCTAAACCTGAATGGACCAACTACCGTAAAATCGTTGTGTGTGCGCCCGGCTTAAAGCAGGGATTTTGCCTGGTCCGTTAACTTACCTGTTGATATCACGTGCGCGGATTGCGAGAAACGGAAGAAATATTGGTCACAAATAAAACTAATGTAATTCCGAGGCCAGTTTTGGCCAGTAATTCTGAGGTCACAACTAATATCTGAAGTTTGTGCTTAATATTACCTTCCAACGCGGATTTAGCCTTGTAATTTGTAATGAAAAGATCGGTAATTTGTGCTTCATACAGATACCTTTCATACAGAGTTTAGCCTTATTCTAGACAAACAGTGCAGGCGAGCGTTAGGTGATTTCAGCACCTCTCTGGTTGTATAATGAAATGATAAACCTCTGAGCCTTAAAAGTGTTTCGTAGAAAAATTAATCTCCATGCAAAAATAATAAGCAAATTACTTCATGGTCGTTCCTACGACTTTTATTATGAACTCGTTGTGAAGGATCGCAAACGCACTCGTTTGCTACGCGGTCACTCGTTCGTTTTGCGATCCTCACAACTCATTGATAAAAATCGTACGCATTCCCCAACAAAGAAATAATGTATATATATATTTCGCATTTCAGTATCCAAGTATTTCACAAGGAATTATGAATCTATGAAATTTTTCGAAAGGTCTAGTATTTGTTACCTTTTCTGTTTGTTGTTCGACCTTCTTGTAGACTGAAAAAACCTTGCCGTCATCACTAGACGCAATTGTGTATTTCGTGACACCATCCGCAGTGCCGGACAACCCCTCCACGTCAAGTCTGCTCACAGTCACGTTCGTGATGAAGTCTACTTGAAACCAAGGGTTTTTATCACCGTCCGCTGCTATCCAACCACCATGTCCATTTTTTCTTCCATTGCCGGCACCGGATGTGTAATACATCGAGGACGATACATTCAATTGGGAGTCCAAAATGAGTTTATTGGACATGCCAAGAGGCATTCCACTGAACCAGTCATCTAGAAAACACGCGAACAGGAAGTTACATTTCTACATGTCACATCATGACCTTTTCTATATATACGTGTTATAAAGAAACAACATTCGCCTACCCGTAGAATCACAGCCCTGAACTTCTATTCTTAAAACGGGAAAGGGATAAGGTCCTGAGGGCGGTGCCGCCGAAATTTGTAAGAATCTTGCAAATATAGGATGTGAGAAAGGTCTTTCAACGATGGTAGTGGTACTTCCTGGGCCTGAAAAGGTCTAGAAAATACGGAAAGAAAGCAATGTTCAGGAATGCAGGGAGATATATAACAATTCTCAGACTAAACGAGGGGGTAAAGCATAGCAGCTCATATAACATAGCATGGCATGGCATAATATGCATGGCATGGCATGACACAGCATAGCATACCGTTGCGTGGCATAGCACGAGGTCATCATATAATAATACATCAATTATATATTCCTATTATTAGTTCCAACTTTATTACTATTATTTTCCTCTCCGGCTTTTCCATCTACTGTATCTTCATCTATAACTATTGTACATTATTTTCACCTTTTCACTTCCAGATTCTACGTAACTTTTAAAATTTTCTCCATCATTACTGTATTGAACTGTATACGACGGACTCCACGTCCCATAGGGAGTGGCCCCTTGTACTTTAAGCCCCGTAATAGTTGTATGTCGTAAATAATCTATCTTCAGCAATCCGGTCGAGCCACTTGATGCATGCCATCCTTGAGGATCATCGAGTCTGGCATGTCTAGCTGAATAGCTTGACGACATTTCGTTTGGCGACGTAATTTGGCTGTCCAGAAATGGCAAAGGGCCCGGAGAGGTACAAGCTACGATACACAATCATGAGAATAAATAAAAACCATGCATGGTGATTAGTTAACCTAGTCAGTTTGTCATGATTATATTATCGTCGAGCTAAGAAGGATTGATAGCTACGCAGATTATGAAATGACAGCCGGCATTGAGGTCCCAATTAAGGCTAAGATGCATCATACCGGGTGTGTCAAAAGACCTGCAACTAAATCAAAAAGACCTTTTGCACCTTGTGCGCTATAGATCATATTTTATCTAAGCGAAGAGGATTAACTGAAATTGCAAAGCTTAATTGGCAGTCAAATGTTGTTATCTACGGAAAATATATGTATCCGAAATTAGCAAACTTTGTATATTTGTATTACGGCGGGAAGTATGTAACTAACTTGGTTACACATTGTCGCACGTATACTATAAAAAATATACAAAATTTGCCAACTCAATCATACATACATAGTTTTGGAAATGAACTTTGCAATTATACTAATTTCAGTACGCTCGTTCTAGATGTTGTAATATATTTCCTTCTTTCGCATGCCTAGATCTAAAAAATAATTTGTCTATGCGCATAAAGTCCATTGGTGTAGTGGAGTACGTAACTAATGTGATAAGTATAATATTTTGTTATAATTTCTCAGTGGCGGAAATTCAATTCAGGAAGACCTAAACAGGTCAGAGGCTTTATATTTTGGCGATACATCACCTGGGAATAGTACCCGCCCAAATTTCCCATTATCCACTAAGGGCCTAGTCATACCTAGTTCGCCTGGGAAGGAAACCCCGGGTTTAATAGCAGACCATAAACTCACTTGAATAGCAGCCGAAGAATTCCAGCCTTAAAGCAGGCCTACCCGACCACGTTTTGGGATGGATGCGAAGATAACGGACTGAGATTTCTTCTGGAAGCACCGTTTTGACTTTTGTAGTACGATCAGTATTTGCAGGAAACACCTGTTTGAATAAATAAAATAAAATATCTGATGCAAAACGTGCCTTCTAATAGGATATTGATTCCGACTGTATTTAATTACTGTTTCCACGCGCGAAATTAGTGTAGGAATGCTTCACATAATTACATAGCTCATACATGTACAAACATTCCTAACGGATTTTAACAATGCAGCATAAAAAGAAAGTGAAAAAAATGTTTGAGGCATACAATTCTATGAAACTGATCTATTAATTCCATTGAGTTTTAGGGGGAAATAGCAATACCATGAAAGCATAACCTCGGGTTGAAAAATGCAAAATGTCGGTCATAAAACACTAAATATAACACTAGGTTCGCGTTTTTGGGGGTGTGCCCAACCCCAACTTTTATGGAAATTTGTCCGAAAAATCTGTCGTGAAGCCTGTATGGAGTGCCGAAATAAAGAAAAATTCCCTATTATCCATAACTTATCCGTATACGGCTTTTAACATCAATATTGCACCATTCGTCACTAAATTTTTTTGTTCAGAAAATGAATTCCTTGATATAGTTTATAGCAAAGCTGAAGAATTGAAATTTTAAATTTTGAGAATTTTCATAATCTCTCTCCATCATAATGAAAACGTTTCGCTTCTCCCAAACTAGCGGTTGCGTCCATTCATTTCTGTATGACACTTACATCAGGGCGATTTATGCGCGTTTCTCGTGCGTGTTTTACTGCACCCTGGTTTGCTCGCTCTTGAAATGGTTGAATGCACATTTTAAACAGAGAGATTTAGCGTCGAAACTCGAAATGTTTAGCTAGAAGACGCATACCAACATATGAAACAAAAATGTTTTAAAATGGGAAGCTCACTCGTTCAGCGGCCACACCTTCTAGAAAATCAACCACTTATATAGTGTTCCTACAAATTGATGATTTAATTATGAAAAAGAGAATTTCTAAATATCCGATAGAAAGGGAATATCCGAAATGGGCATGCTAAACGTAACAAAATTGCTAAGTTTAGATGCAAAATATTGTGAAGTACGGAAGATATAGCCTATCGAATGAGGCAATATATATACAAATGTTATGATTGATTTTTACCCTGATTTCTGCATTATGACTTTGGTTCATAACGTTCTTGAATATTCCGCTTGAATTTGCATACGATATTGTAAATGACATCACCCATTGGTCAGACCTTGGTGAACCTTGTGTCTCTAACTCCACCAGTTGCAATGTTGTCGAAAAGTCAACATAAAACCATGGTTCTGCATCATTTGCGTTTGCCATCCAAGATTTTGGGCCGTCGACTCTTGCCATAAAGGGGAGGTAACCATCGGAGGATGAAGATGCATGCAATTGTGCTGTAGTAATCAATTTAGACACCATTCCAACTGCCTCGACATGATTAGGATCGCAATCTAAAAAATAATATTTCTATTACATGAAGCTTGATTGCACTTGATCTCACCGTCAGATTAGCTGCCGGGGACAGTTTCTTCCAAAACAGGCTCATTGATTTTCCTTTTTACACTTTCTTCACAGACAACAGGGTCTTTCAAACGCTTCTTTGGAATTTTTCTTTTCCAATAAATTTTTAAACTGTTTTCGAATTGCCAGTTAAATTATTGCTGAAGGTATATTTGAAAATACAATTTTTGGTCAGGAGTTTGCTGTTCGATCACCAGTTTTTACTCGAACAATTATGCGTGTGTGTATCGAACTTCCAAGACATAGAATTTGGACCACTTTGGATTCCGATCATTGAGATGAATAAACCTGGAGTGCCTGCTCCTCTCGAAAACCGTTCGCGAAAGTGTCCGTAAAAAGATGGCGTCAGCAGAGGCTATTTCTCTCATAGTAGCAGCCACTGCCCGCATGTGAGATGGCTCAGTTTCTGCTATTAACCAATCAAAGCATTAGTTTAGCTGTCAAGATACGATACTTCGTTTTTTTATTTGTCCGTTTCATCGAAGCACAGTCATTTTTTGAAGTCTTTATGTTTCTGAAGCATATTCTTCATATATATATTCTACTTCGAATAAACTCGTAATAAATAGGTATTCTATAATATGCTTTCGAGAATGTTTAAGACGATCAGCGAGATTGCGAATTGCACTAGTTAAATGGTTAAAATTAGCTAATAGTGTTTCAAGTGTGAATATACTGGGAAGTATGTCCTCAAATATGCAGCCGGGATATCGTAAAATATTTTATTTTATATATTTGTTGTTAGATGCAGAAGAGCTTCTTTTTATCTACTAAATACCTATAGGTGAAGGTTTCATTAAAGGTCGGCAATTGTTGCTTTGATAGTTATGAGTCTAAGAGATATATAATGTACCTATATTTTCAAGCATTAAAATCATGTTAGGCTTCTTCTTCGCACTCGTATTTACATTGCTCAGAAAAACAATGATTTATGGAAAAGTGAAAGTAGGTTACTTTAGTAAGTGAACAATCATTAAGGGCTACAATCAGTAGCGTAGCCAGCCAGTCGATTTATCCCGCTATGCTAATATTTTGGTGTTCAATGACATGAATAATTATAATAACTCGAAATGTCCATAGCGGGACAAAAACGTCAGGCTGGTTACGCCACTGGTTACAAACCGATTTCCGTGTTTAAAAGCCGAAGAAAGTAAGAAATTTCGCCGCGGGTTTCGCATTTTTGGGAAACAAAACATTTTACGGTTTGATTTTTTCCCCGCGGTACGTTGTTTTTCGTGGTTACTAGTGGATGTCCGCGTGAAAGTTTGACCTCTGCTGACGCCAGTTTTTTTCAACTACTTTTGATGGCATATACTTTATACTTTATTCATCTCAATGATTCCAATATTTTGTGTTACAATACGCAAGCGCAAGTGTACTTCCTATTCTCCAAGCGGAGTTTGTACAGTGCATTCTTCTTAATTCACCACCCCCAAAATTTCGAGGTCCTTTTTACCATAGCCAGTATATAAACAGTTATGCGCAGCGCCGGCCGGATTAATCTCTCCGGCTGAATTAATCATTCGCTAATCCGCCAGTGCCAATGCGAAATAAAAGACTTGCAATGTACTGAATGTAATATATTACATAATCAAAGAATATTTTTGGCGTAACAAATAATCATTCCTCGCGTTGAACGATGCACTTCTAAATTAATTGTATATTGCCTAGTTGAACTTCACATTTTGGTTTGGTCGAATGCAATTCAAACTATAGGTAATGAGATGATAATCAAGCTTAACTAGGTTTATGCCTGCAGCATATACAATTCAGTGATAAGAAGTAATGCTAATTTAAAAAATATCTCACCTGCTGTTCCACTCTTTACGGCAAACGACAAGAAGATAACCTAAAAGTATATATAGGGCAAGTTCTGTCAACTGTCAATTAAAAGAAGACCCTAACCTCTTAAATCCTTTCCACCCGATAATTTCAGCAAATTCAGCTATAGAATAAAAGTTATCCCGAATAAAGAGTGCGTGTTAAAACACATGTATAATAATGCATTCGCGTTAAAATTCGATTTTCATGTCTTGTGTAAACACCCGAATTTCGAGACGCAGCGACGGCCAGCAAGCGCTACCTCCCATTAGGCTCTAGCTATGTAGAATTGTTTACATAACCCCCATGTTTTCAACGTCTTATTTCTCATAAAATTTAAAGGATTGGTAATATGCAACAACTTCTATCATAGCATTGACTTAAAACAGTGCAAGTTTTAGCCGCGTCGTCGTGCATCGTGTTGCCGTCCTGGTCCCTAATATTATTACAAATCACTTCGAGCATTTGTTGCAAAAAGTCCAACTTAATTGAACGTCCAATCACAAGCACTGGGATATTGGGAGTCGCATAATCCCATTGTTTGAGAATGTGAAAGACTACTGAAAATCTATCACTATAAAAGAGAATGGTCATTTATGGATATATATTATTATATTATGGATATATAATATTTTATCATAAAATTAATACGCTTTAGCGTAGTTTGCAAATTTGGAGATATCCCGAAATAATTTATCGAATTGAAAAAAATCGATTATAAGTTTTGGCACTTCACTCGATGTAGGTAAATTCCAGAGGTTTAAACGGTCCTAATTTCGAGTGGATTATATCACACTCCACTCCAGCCAATGAATCGCATCGCAAAAGATGACCGGCATCGCAAAAGGCCAGGCTTGAATTTGAAGTGTGTATACTTTCAAACGAATTTAAGATCCTTTTAAACCTCTAGAATTGGAAAGTATATCAATATCTGCATGAATTTTCTTAAAAAAACACATTATAGGTCGTTTTATTACGATAACTTGCATTACTTGATAACTGCATCGTCGTCTGCATGTTTCATTCTGTTTACACGTTGCCTTGGATACAAGGTTTCATGCATAATTCATTACGTTTGTTTAGCTACAGCAGGTCTCATCGACCGCATCTTTTCACAACAACGGAGTGGAGTGGATGAAATTGATTTCACAAGAAACGAATGGAGTTACTGCAATGGCTTATAATTGAGGCGGACGCTGTGTCATAATCTATACTACGTTGAATATTTTTAGATGCATGACCTTTTTTCTATAATAAGAAATGTTATTCGGAAATTATAGACATAACTAATGGAAGAAGTTTAATGTCTGACAACGACAACATGTCCGATTACATGTAATACAAGTTTAAAAAGGCGTTCTGGCCTGGAGTGGTTCTGCCTTAAAAAAAAGTCGCGTTCATGCACCCCCTAAACTGGGGGTAAATGTCTGAATGTCATATCTTCTATAGATTCTAGCAATTTCGAATCCCACAGCAAAGGGTAGAAAATGGGTTCCGTGTGTAATGCTGTTCTTGTTGAATTGAATTGTGTTTTGCATGCGTATTGCTACGCAATCGGGAAATAAAACTACGACGAGATTGCTATAAGGTCTATTTTAGCTTTCGGTGATGATTTTCTATAATGCAGTGACAATAATATTAAATAGCGATGAAATTACTATTGTAGAATCTAAATGAAAAAAAGAGTCTGTCAGCTAATGATCTGAGTATACAACTACAAATTCATTTCTCTCACCGCAGATTGCGATTACCTCAATTCTTCTTTCGGGATAATCTTAGGACATAATATAATTACAAGATGCTTACCAGAACGGTCAACAATATAGACATCTTCTTTTTACTGCCGTTTGCAATCATCTTTAAAGAGCTACGGAGGGAACATACTCATTCAAAAAAAATTCCGAATTGAATGACGATTCAATACCTGGCCACAAAGCAATTAGCAACCAAACTCAACAAAGCCGATGATTGGTCCGTACGTCGTGGTGCGGGGAAGTCACCTGGCTGTTTATAAAATCACCGATGCATAACATCTATATAAATAGAAGTGTAACTGGTTTGAATCGAGTTACTAATTCTCTAATAAAATGAGATATAACTGAAGAGTCATTCTCCGGAAAGCTTTGCTAAATAAATGTCTATGGGGTGCATGCAGATTGGCGCGTATTGAAATTCACGTGATTTTCATGATGCATGAACTGAGAAGGCGCCCTGCTTTGAGAAAGTTAATTAACTGCGCGTATTGAAACCACAAGAAAATATTTGTATACATTAATCTTTAAAGCAATAAACCGTTGTTATTGCGTCTTATACTTTGAATCCCCTTCAAAATCGCGAAGTAGGCATTATGAAATACATTAGAAATTATGATATACCGTGTGTCCCCAGAAGAGTGGCAGAGTGCTCTTTTTTGAAATCATTATTTTTTTTAAGAGTACTTTTTGGGGGGACACACATACCGTCCATATATGCATTTCAAGTGGTGGAAGTGGAGTGGCATTACCCATGCAAAATTTATGTTTGACTGTCCCTTAATCCGCCACTGTATATGGCTTTATTTCAAAGTTCATTTTTTTGAAAGCGAAATAAACGTTAAATCTCGTTCAACTAACACCAAAGATGGCCAGACAACGTGCAAAACATGTATTTTGTCCCCAATTAAGAAATAGAGTTCGCCTCAGTGAATATAGGCTTGTAATCAACACGCCCGAGGCGACTAATTCTTTTAGTATAAATTTCCAGGTGTTTACAAATAAGAATCAAAACAATTTCGTAAAAAAATCCTATAAAAAACGACTTCAAATTTCTTATTTGATAAACAACAACAAAAAGCTATAGTTACCGACTATATATACCAAACAGAATGTAGGAAAATCAATAGTAATCTCGAAATTTTTGGGCGTTTAATAAACAAAACATTGACATATATTTTCCAAAAATTCTTTGCTCTGCGTGCCTCAATGCATGCCTACCACAAAGTAAAAAATATAGAATAAACGTAATTTTCGGCTAAACTTTCTTTCCTTAATTAAAATCATATGCCACTTTTTAGTTCAAGAATTAATGAAAGTTCAGCCTTTACCCTGATTGAAAAGATCTTTCGCACTGCGTGCAACGGGACTTATTCCCTATAGAGACGATAAATCGCTTACGTAGTTACGTTGAGTTGGCAAAAAGTTAGTTCGTCCGGTCACTCCCGATGTATCCCTATATAAACGTCAGCAAAAGTCTTTTCTTTACTTCCAGAGACTTAGGGCGTGTATAACATTATATATACATATAAAAAAAATAAATTAATATCAGTCTGCCTGCATGGCATGCATTTCTTATGCACCTCCCGCTGCCTGCATGGACCAATTACGCCAAGGTCGGTTTCCGACGTAAACATTTTCATGGGCCGAATTAAATACAAATAGAACAAAAAAAGGCTTATTAATCTTATTCAACATCAGGCTCGGCATGAAAATGGATAAATGCCAAAATTATTTGAATATATATCCATATTGGATGCATCGCCGAAGTATTTTGTTTTAAACTAATGTCGCTCTGTTTACCAGCCGGCACAAATTGTTGCCTGGTAAAAATTCAAACGAAGTCAGTCTGTCGATAAAAAAATTATGCAGCTACTTATTCGATATAAACGTTTAATTGAATGATTATTAATAATTTTAGTACCATCCTTTGCAACGAATTGCATTTGCTATAGAATTTAGGTTTCCTAGGATTATGATTGCGGCACAGATCTATACGCCGCTCAGATTATGGTTTAATTAATATTATATTGCACCAAGCTATGCATGCATGGTTTAAGCTATTTGCGGTCTGAATTACAAAGACTAGTCTTTTGTATATGCATCCTGTTTATTTGGTTTCTTATACTGTATTTCCCCCTATACAAAATCATGTAGTAATTAGGGATGTAAGATCCTTAGCCGATCCTTAGGCTTTGCGCTATTATCAAATAATAATGGTCTGGTTCCGGCATTTTCGAGTGGCCAAAAACGCAGAGATAACAATTTCTTCCGATATTTAGATATAGTCGGCATACAATCGCGTCTTTTGAGCAAAGGGAAAGTTTGCTGCGCGCGAGTGTTACATTCATGAAGTTAGTATATATGGGAGCTTTACCGAACGATGCCGTTGTTAACGCACGAAAATTTGGTGATTTTAAACTAAATATGCGGATGAGAAATTATCGAGTGTATATAAATTATACATATAGTTATGGCGACCACGCGGCACTCGTTTTTAGCATGTCAACTGACTCAATTGAGTTTGTCTAAATGCGCCTTCTCCCAATCGTGCATGCATGCATGCACTACACTGTGGCTCGGGTCACACGAGACTGGACGAATTTGGGACGGTACTCGAATTCGTCTCGTTTTCTCGTGTGAACACAAAGAACAGGTTAAATTTTCATACATTTTTACCGTGTAAACACCTGAACGGCTGAACCGGACGAATTCGAGCGCTTTCAAATTCGCCCGGTCACGTGTCAACGTAGCCTATAGTGAAGGTAGTCCTACGCCCCTATAGGGAAGCGGATTAATTCGATTGTTTTAATTTTCCACCTCGAAGCCCCATGTCTGGGATGCACGCGTTATAAATGAAGCAACTCTAATATCTTCTATATACAAATTGATGTCGAGAAAATGATGGTAGTGATTATACTTTTTTTCGCCAACATAATACGTCGTGACATGGTGCACGATTTCGCGCATCAGTTAGCTGTGATAAAAAGCCATACTTGAATGAAAGAACCTTTATATAGTTGCATAATTATGACTAATTTGAATACAAAGAGTATAGCCCATGTTATATGGCATGCACGGACTGCTCATTTCGGCAGAACAAGTGAACAACTTCAACAGAGAAGGTGAACAAACTCTTTGAAAGTAAAGAACGAGAGATAAAGACTAAAGTTAAAAGGTAATGTTACAGCACTAGTTTTTACGTTTTGTTGGACTGATTTATGTATATCTGCGTAGTTGGGGTTGCTGACTTATGCAGTACAGTCATATGCCCTTTGGCTTTAATAAATGATACACAAAACTCGCTTGTGCATGCATGATATGAATTAAGAAGCTTTTATGTATTAAATATATTTATATATATAGTTTATTTTTCACATCGCTTGTGCTAAAACAGTTCTTCAATTTATATCCATCGTTCCGACAATAATAATATAATAGTTACGTTTATGTTTCAGCAACCGTATAGGTTATTTAAAACTTATCGCATGCATGATATACTCAACCAGGTATACCATTCAAAAAAAGCAGCATTTCCTCTATTTTTTTTGTCTCGGTTTCCTTTCTATTTACATGTATATTTAAAAAAACTTCCCTCGCTTGCACCTAGGTATCTCCGTAAACCATTTGAAACTACCATGCAAACACAGTCAATTTAAGACCCATGCATGAAACACAAAACAACTACATGACATACAAATTACAAAAAATACCTACCTCCTCCGCAGGCGCTATAGTGATCCGCAGGCGTTAGGGAGCAATTCGAGCTACATCCTACATTACAATAGAAACATTGTAACCATATGAGTAATCTCAATGAGTATGACTTGACTGAGTGCTCAAACATTCTTACAGGCTTACCTCATTTTTATGGGTGCAAATTCGTGCAAATTTTCAAGCGATATAATATATTATGTTGGTGAAAAAAAGTATCAGTACGATCATTTTCTCGACATCAATTTGTTTAGAAGATACCGTAGAGTTGTTTTGACGGGGCTTCGAGGTGGAAAATTAAGCAATCGAATTGTTAATTTTAGCATATATAGAGCTAGTTTCTCTATTATAAGGCGAAATAGGATATAGCTCACTCCCAATAAAAGAATAAAACTTTTCGCAACACTGAATAATAACTTAATTACATGCATGCAAACCAGTTTTGTAAAAGCAATTATTCGTTTCAAGTATCAGCGCTCTATTTCAACTGTGCTCGATTCATTGGCGTCGCTAGCATAAGTGGGGGAAACTTATTCATATATTCGAGTTTTACATTATTCATTTCCATTCAAATTGATTGTTTTAACGGTCTGTGAAAATAAATATGTAAATATGTCCACCCCACTTATCGATGCTAGCGACGCCACTAGCTCGATTCCTTTCTCTTTGTTAAAGCGGTTGTTTCATGGTAATAATAAACGATTGTGTTGGGTGTGGAATTTGGCCCGAAGATTTTTACCAGGGCGTTTATATGATATATAAGCGCCCTGATTTTTACACGATTCTCGGGTACTTGTATACATGCAATACTTCATTGATTAGCTATGCAAAATGAACAATTAAATCAAGTATTTATCACAGCATAATTTGATAAATAGCATGGTGAAATATCATTGTCCAATGAGGGTCAGTGTTTGGATTCGTTTTAATGCTACTCTAGTTGAATAGTTCTACTATCAAAAATTTTATGTAATAATTTCAAAAATCAACCCTAGGAATCACATGTGTTGGCTTTATAAGTTGTAAAAGTACCATGAATACTAATTAGGATGACACATTGTATAATTTATCATCTTCATTAGTATTCTTTATACAGGATGAGTAAAAAAAAAACTGACACCTTTGAAATCCAATTTGCTGCAATGTGTCTGTAATAGGCTGTAATGAGACAGAGGTTGCCTAAAATATCTTATGGGTATACGAAGCATATCAAATAAGTGAACCCATTAAGTAGAACATAAAGTTTGTTCCCTTTGGGAGTTAAAATGCATTCTAAGCTCTGTAATAAAAAAGAACGTGGAATTAGTTCAATTGGTTTAAACACTTTCACATTAATTAACCACGTCTTGTTGATTGTACACAATGGGAATTGTCAAATCCCAGCCATAAGTTCACGGCTAATTTGAATTTCAAAGGTGTCAGTTTTTTTTTTACTCACCCTGTATAATGTTTCATCCTAATTAACATTTGTATACTTGGAGCAAATTTATTGCTCGACAACAATGCGGTGTATTTGAAGTAATTTAAAACACTCGAACTCGCGCTTTATCATATCTAAAACGCTCCTTCTCGTGTTTTAAATATTACATAATAAGATGTTTTAGCAGGTCACATAATTGAAGATAGCTATCACGTTTAACTTTTATGAAAAATTTTCCTTAAACAAAAGGTATCGAATTTGATGTACTACTCTATATAAATGTTCAAAATGTTCTTCGGCAGTATGCTCAGTAAACCCTGAGCGCCAACCAAAGCCTCCACCAAATTACCGCTAAAGTGGTACGAAGTACAAAAAAATAGCGATCGAGTAGGCCAAAATGCATAAAGTAATTTGTTTATTTAATGTGCATAGACTATATCCCAGGTTGAGTATAGTCTATAACGACGCGCTTTTAATATTATACAAAAACGCAGCGAGCAACTAAATTCTAAAATCGAAAATTTATGTGTCAAAACATATTTATCAGTTACCGTCCAGCTTCTTCGTAGTTTTGTTCAATAGAAGTTAGGTAAGCTTTCCGAAAGCCTTTATTATGTGTCGAATGTAAAAGTGTCTTGCAATTTGAGAATTACGTTTTTAATCTCACTCCCATATTTCGACGCCATCTTAAAACAAAAATGTAAAAAAATTGCCACCAAAATGCCATTCCACAATTATTCACGTTTGGAAATCGTATGTCGAATCAGAAGCGATATATGGTACTTTTTTACACGTGAAAAAAATCACACGTCCAATCAAATTGCACAAAGTAAATTCACTCAGAGAAGAAAGATAAATATTTTATTATTCTACGTGCATAAATCTGTACAAAAAATTAAACAACTATATACTTAATATATAATAGCATTATACAAATTGCCATGATCTAAAAGAGCCATGACCTAAAAGACGGAATTTCCTCACAGAAAGTTTTAACGAATTTCATCATCATCAGCCAATCACTTTTTAGCACGTGCCTTAAGCTAGCCAATCGCATTTCGTCAATCCTTTATAACATGTACGCGTGATATCTGCAAAATTTCTACTTTTGGGGAAACTATTTGCCTGTCTAACTGCGATTTTTTTTCGATTTTATTATTATGATTTTCTACAGATGACTTTCTACGATGATTTTCTACAGATCTATTTTAAAGATGACCGCCTGGGCGAAGAATTAATACTCGTACCTCGTTAGATTTTCTACAATCGTGTTAATAAGAAGCCCGTTAGGATTTCTAATTAAATTTTAAAACGCACAGCCAAAATGTTTAACTTC